AGGTTGTTTTTACAAAACAAATTAGATTCCTTCTGTAAGAACGTATGTTCTAAGACCTTTTGTTTCTAACTAAGTAAAGTTTTCCAGAGGGGAAAAAAATTGAGATTGATTCTTTCTTCCTCTGTTCTTATAAGTCTTAGTTCAGGACCTAATTTTCTTCCAATTATGTTCATAATTTATTTAACCAGTTCCCTGTAGATGGACATTTGGATTGTCCATACATTCTTATCTGTATTTTTTCAGTATATCATTTCACACATCTGTAAATACATTTGAAGGATAAGAATCTAGAATTAGAATTGCTGGGTAAAGGGTGTATGTATTTACAAAGTTGATAGATATTGTCCCCCGTAGTGATGAAAATGCTTTATACTACCAAAGCTAGCATACAAATGCCTTTTTCTCAACATATTATATTTTAAATTATTGACCTTTATTATTTATTAGTCTGGCGGAAAAGGGGAAATCTGATTCTAATTTTAATTGGCATTTCTCTCTCCTGTGAGATTGAGCATCTTTTTAATATATTTGAGTCTTTTGTATTTCCTCTCTATCAACGTGTCCTTTGAATGTTTTTCTATTGAGTTCTTGTTTTTTTTCTTGTTAATTTGTAAGTCCTCTTAATATACTGAGAAAAGCAAACTCTCGTGATTTGTGATATGACTGCTTGTCCTGTTTTTGTTTTGACATATGTCAAAAAAGAAATGTCCTATTTCTCATAGTTTTTCAGTAACTTTTTTATTGCTGTATGTAAACATTTTGCTTTTTGAGGTGAAATTTATTAGTCTTTTATGGCTTTGGGTTTTGTCATATTCTCAGAAAGGCATGCCAAACCCTGAGATTATTAAAACAAAATCAAATCCTACCTTTTCTTCTAATATTTTTGTGCTTCCTTTAAAATTTTTTTATCCATTTGGCATTTGTTTTGATGTGAGAAATATTTTCCAGATGGCTGCCCATCAACATTTATTGAATAATCTACATTTTCCCCAATGATGTGCAGTGTCACCTTTAGCTTATACTAAATTCCTCTGTGGATTTGGGTTTGTTTTTGAATTGTATCTACCATAGCTCGGTCTGTTCATGCATCAGTACCACTTTTTAAATGACTATGGAATGATAATGTTTGAAAAATTTTTAGGACTTTTAAATAATTTGTTCTTGCTTATTTTTCCATGTGTACTTTAGAATCATGCATCATGTGTTTAAAAAACACCGTGTTGGTAATTTAGTTGGGCTTGCATAATTTTAAAGATTAATTTAGGGAGAAATAAAATCATTGTAATGTGGAGTCTTTTTTTTTTTTTTTTTTTTAGATTTTTTAAAATTTTTCCTTTTTCTCCCCAAAGCACCCTGGTACACAGTTGTGTATTTTTAGTTGTGGGTCCTTCTAGTTGTGGCATGTGGGATGCTGCCTCAGCATGACTTGCTGAGCAGTGCCACGTCCACGCCAAGGATCCAAACCGGTGAAACCCTGGGCCACCAAAGCGGAGTGCGGGAACTTAACCACTCAGCCACAGGGCCAGCCCCTGGAGTCTTCTTTTTTAAGAACATGGTTTTACTTCTCATTTGTTCAAGTCATTTTTTTTTGTGCTCCTTAGTAGCATTTAAAATCTTCTTTGCATAGGTCTTATTTTTCTCTTGTAAAGTTTTTTCTAATTGTATTTTCATTTTGTTATTATTATATATGGAATTGTTTTCTTTCATTATATTATCTGATTGTTTTTATAGAAGCCCATGGTTTTCAGTTTAGTTGTTTTTTTTTTTAAGATTGGCACCTGAGCTAACTATTGTTGCCAATCTTTTTTTTTTTTTCCTGCTTTATCTCCCCAGTCCCTCCAGTACATAGTTATATATCTTAGTTGCAGGTCCTTCTAGTTGTGGCATGTGGGACGCTGCGTCAACGTGGCCTGACGAGTGGTGCCATGTCCACGCCCAGGATCCGAACTGGCAAAACCCTGGACCGCCACAACAGAGCGTGCAAACTTAACCACTCAGCGACGGGGCCGGTCCCCCAATTTACTATTTTAATATGCAACTACTTTACTAAAATTCCTCTATTGTTTGTAATAGTTTATAGTCTATTTTCTTGGATTTTCCAGGTATCCACTCATATCATTTGCAGATAATAATAATTTTATTTCTCCTTTCCTAGTTTTAAAGTTATTTCTTTCTTGACTGTTGACATTGGCCACCATCTCCAGAACAGTGTTAAATATTTGTGCTGAAAAATGGGCATCCTTGTTTTGTTCCTGATTGTCAGTGTTTCCAGAGTTTCTCCTTTACACATAATGCTGGCTTTGAATTGAATTGTTTGTATCTTACATTAAGGAAGTTGGTATAGTGTTTGTTTCAAAACAAAAAAATATTTTAAAAAAATCTTATATTGGCAGAAAAGCTGCAAGGGCAGTACAGAGAAGTTTTTTCCTGAACCATTTGAGGGCAAGTTGCCAGCCAACCTGATGGCCCATTGCCTCCCACCAAATACTTGAATGTTTATTTCCTATAAACAAGTACTATCCTATATAACTACATATAGCCATCAAAATCAGCAAATTAACACTGATGTTTTACTAACATCTAATCCCCATTCATGTTTCACCAATTGTCCCAGTAATGTCCTTTTATAGCCAAATCCAGTCCAGAATCATGCATTACATTTGGTTTTCATGTCTTTTTACTCTCCTTCAAGAGACTAAAGACTGAAACAGTCTTTCCTTGACTTTTATGAACTGACACTTTTGGAGATTATAAGAAAGTTAATGTACATGTTCCTCAACTTGAATTTGCCTGATGTTTCCTTATCATGGATTTCAGGCTATGCATCTTTGGCAGAAATGTCACAGAGGTATTCTGTGATCACCAAGGAATATCACAGATATTTCTATTACTCCTTTCTGTTTGCCTTTCCCAGGCACCTCCATCTTCTTTGTAATCTTTCTGTTTTATCGGTTCTGGTTCTTTTATTTTTATTAAATATTTAACTAATCCAATTGTGAATTGATAGGAGGATGGGGAAGCAGGTGTACTGGGAACATAATGAGTAGTTGGTGGGTTGGTGAATCAGTAACAGTAAAGACTTTGGAGTATTATAGTCTGAAGGTGCAGAATCATTCAGGATCAATGATGGTGGCAGAAATAAAAAACTAGCCAAAGGTTATAGAGAGGAACCAATTGATAATTGATGATATTATTACTTTGGTTTATATGATTATACTGATTAGATTGTTATTTTTAGTAAAGCCTTTCTGAAGAGTGTATAGAATTCTATGCCAAAGCATTATTTGGCCTAATAAGTTGGGTCGTCATATCCTTTGCACAAGACTTTCGTTTTTGTCGTCTTTAAATGCATGTATTATTATTCTGCTTATATAAAATAACGATCTCATTATAGAATATATAATTTCAAAAGGTTTTATGATCAAGTGTAGATATCATAGATACTTGATGTCTTTTCCTCTGTGAATACAATTGAATTGTTTTTATGTTGTGTTTAATTATTTCAATAAGATAAAAATTATCTTTCTTTTAATTGCAACCTAAGTCTTAAGAGTTCATTGAAATGAAAACAAAAAACGTAACAGTACCTACATCTTGAAAGTCTTAAGAAACTCGGTGAGTTGGATGTTCATCATTGTACTAAAAAAATAGAAATGAGCATCATTCAAACTAAGTAGAAATAAGTTTAAGGGCTCACTCACTAAACCTTACTTAGTTGGACAATCCACAGTTTCTTAGGGATATGATAAGGTCATTAAATGTAAATTCTTGCTTACCTAAGTGGAAAGCACTGTGGAAATATAAATAATGCTGTTATCTAGGTTAGTATAGTAGAAATCGGAGGGGAAAGCGTGTGAGAATAGTGAAAATCGGTATCGTTGCGGGCCCTTGAATAGACCTCCTGCCCTATTCTTAGTGGTGTTATGAGTTACTTTTACCAAATTAGTGTTTGCAACATAGTTTGAATTCTTGGACGATAATGTCTTTCTAATTATTCTAGAGAGCTGTTTTTTCCTAGCCCCTCTGTTTACTAAAGACAAGAATATTACCACTTGTTTCATTAAAAAGTAGGGGTCGTGTTCTTTGTAATTCTTTGGAGAGGGCAGGAAACTAAGAAGGGCCATCGTCTCTGACTTTCCTTTTTCTAGCTTTCGCTTTCTTTTGTTCTGCGTGTCAATCTCCTAATATGGGATGGGGTGAAAGGTGGGAATTCTGAAAAGGCAGCTATTTATTGTTTGTAGAGGAGGTCCAGGTTAAAGTCTTTCAAGACGAGGAATCCGTCATAAAAATAAATAAATGGTGAAGCTCTGAGTACTCTTCTTTTGCGTGGGTATTGTAAGAACTCTTGATTTCACTTCCCTCCCTTCCCCATCTTTGCTTTGTGAAAGAAAAACCCTCTCAATGCCTTCAAAGGCAATCACTTGAGCAAACTTTACTGTACTCTTTGCATATGTCTGCATTTATATTGGTTGTTTTATTTTTTGAGGAAGATTAGCCCTGAGCTAACATCTGCCACCAATCCTCCTCTTTTCGCTGAGGAAGGCTGGCCCTGAGCTAACATCCGTGCCCATCTTCCTCCACTTTACATGTGGGACGCCTACCACAGAATGGCTTGTCAAGCAGCGCCTTGTCCACACCCGGGATCTGAACCTGTGAACCCCAGGCCACCGAAGCGGAACATGTGTGCTTAACCACTGTGCCACCGGGCCAGTCCCTCTATTGGTTGTTTTAGACTGTAGACTGTTAGAGGACATGGACTGCACAGTTTAACATCCCTAGTCTGAAATGCATGTGGATGTCCTTTAAAAAAAAAAAATTGTGAAGCTTTCTTTTTCCCTTGCAGTCAGTGCCTTTCTGTATACTTACATACTTTGTGACAGATATGTGAAGGAAATATTTTTACATCTAATTGTTCTATCTTCCAAAGGTTCTTTCTTAAACTAAGTTTAAAAAAATTTATTTGGTCTAAACTGATTTTCGTCTTTCTTTTGCCTTGTCAGGCCCAGATTGCCTTCCTTCAGGGGGAAAGGAAAGGTCAAGAAAATTTGAAGAAGGATCTTGTGAGGAGGATCAAAATGCTGGAGTATGCTCTTAAACAGGAAAGGTAATTTCAGTAAAATAGGTGATAGTGTTCTCTTGAATGTTGGAATAATTTTTCTGTCATTCCTAAAACAAATCCAAATTTAATGCTGTATACTTTTGAATTTAGGAAATATCTGTAATAAACATTTACAAATCGTTGTCATGTGTTAATTATGTTATGAATGTTTAATAATGATTAGTAAAGTGATTTATGTGATTTAAAAAAATTTAGCAACGTTTGTTTCCCGTGCCTTGTCCTTGCATAAGAAACTTCTGTGCTCCCTGAACTATCAATATCCATTTGTTTATGGAATTGAAATAGTTTTTGGGTTGTAAAAGAAATTTCTCTAATGCTCACTGCCTTTTTTATCATCTAGTGTCAATCAATTCGATGTATTTTCTTTGGGGAAAAACTGCTGTGGCAGGCTATGTTGCAAATCTTTTTGTAGACTGTTTTGGTATTTTGTTACTTTGCTATCAGCTATTCATACCTCTCTAGAAGTAAATCTTACCTTTCTATTTTGCTTCTGTCTAAGATACTCAAGTAACTACACTTGAGTCACAAGTAAAGGACAATAGTTCAGAGATGAGAGTTTTGGAAGTTTTCATATGAATTAGGTTTATTTACTTTAACAGATGGTCTTCAGATTTTTTTTGTCAGGAATGTGAGGCAGTTCTTTGTTTTAGGTAATTGAGTAGTTGATAGGTGATACTAAAATTCTCTGTTTTGCTTCCTTTTTGATCGCATGCTTTTCTCATCTTTTTGAAGTTGATGAATGGGCTGTTTGCAAGACTACTGTAAAATAATATTTAGCAGACGATATTCATGAATATCAGGAAATAGATAAAACTTTATTAAGACTTGTATTCACTTTCATGTGGGATCTTTAAATGACACAAGGGATTGAAAACAAGTTGACCTCTCAGTGAAAAATAGGTGGTTCTTTTCATTCCTTGAGAGATTGATTGAAAGCTGTATTGGGGAGATGGGAGAAAAATCACTTTTAAAGTATGTGACTTGGGAATTACATGAGACTTTGAGCAATCTGTGTTATAGGCATAATCAAACAGAGAGAGTAATAACATTAATAATGGCAACTATGTATTAACTGCTGTGTACTTGGCCCTGAGGCTTAAAAACTAAATAACTTGGGGTAGAGTTGCAGAGTTATAGTAGAGCTGTGGTTCACATCCCTTGGGTCTGTCTGATTCTGAAGCCTGTACTCTTTACCAGTACATCTTATTATCTTGTAAGACAGAAGAATTAAAATATACAAATACTAAAGTAACCAGGGATATTGCGTGTGTGTGTGCGTGCATGTGTGTATGTATGTGTGTATCCCTTCTCATTTAACATATTTATTCTATCCATCCAACTTAAGCACTCTGCTGGAGCTAAGTATAAACATATGTCCTTGTCCTTGAGGGCTCAGAGTAGCAGGAAACAGACTTGTAAACCACAGAAGTGCAGTGCGGTATGATAGGTGCTATGAGAAGTCTTTACAGGGAGCAGTGGGATCACAAAGAAGGGAGTGGTTATTTGGATCTGGAAGGTGGAAGTAGAAAGGAGGGTGTAATTAGAGGAGATGAGACTTGAACAGCATTGTAAAAATAAGGTGTTTGCCAGATAGGCAGGGTTCAGAAAATAGACAGGATATGTTTGACATGGAACAAAGCAGTTTGATGTGTTCAGAAATTTGTAATCACTGTGTATGGAGGGTAGGACGTTAGTTTTGATTTGATAAGTGATAATGGTAGAGGTGGGCAAGAGCCAGATCATGGAGAGCCTAACTAAGGAGTTCAAACTTGTCTTACATATAATAGAGAATATTGAAAGTTTAAAGAAATTTTTTATTCTAAAATAATCTCAGACTAACCAAAGTTGCAAAACTATATATACCCTTTACCCAGATTCACCAGTTGACGTTTTGCTGTATTTACTTTTATCATACTCGTTCTCTATAGCATATTGTTTTCTTCCTGAATCATTTGCCGCTTAGTTGCAGACATTATACCCCTTCACTCCTAAATACCTCAGTGTTTATCTTCTAAGAGCAAGGACATTCCCTTATATAATTAGAGCTCATTATCGAGTTAAAGAAATTTAATGTTGATACAGTTCTATTGTCTAATATAGCCCAATGATGATCTCTATAGCAGTTTTTTCCCAGCAAATCTCCCAATTATGATCTTTATAGTATTTTTTTTCCTGGTCCACTATCTAGTCTAGGAATACATATTGCATTTAATTGTCACACAGTTGAAAGGTTTTACACATGGAGTAGTGTGAAATAGATTTTAGAAAGACCACACTGACTTCAATATGGGGGATGGCTTGAAAAGATCTGTTAATAGAGGCATCAGCTGTGAAACATTTTAAATAGAAAGAATTTATAAAATTTGGATATGATTGGGTATAGGGGATGAAAAAGAAAGATAACTCAAGAACGATTCCCAGGTTTCTGACTTGAGTAAGAGTTTTGGAAGTTAGTAATGAATTAAAGAAGAGTTGAAAAGCAGGTATATGGGACTCATGACTAGAGATGTATGCCTGGGAATCATGAATATTGTGTTTAAAGTTATAGGAGTAATTGAAACAAGCAGAACAAGTATTGTGGGAAGAGGAGAGAGACTAGCAGGAGCCATAGGAAATGGAGACGTTTGAAGAAAAGGCAGAGGAAGAAGAGCCAACAAAGGAATATTGGAGAAGGAAGGAGGGAGCAGTGTCTTGGAAACAAGCTAAAGAAGGTGGGAGTTTGACTATTGCAGGTGCCAAACAGACTCCGAGTAAGTTGTATACTGAAAATAGTCACTTGGATTTGCCAGTTGGGAGCTTGCTGGTATTCTTGCCAGACAGCTTCAGTGAGGTAGCAGGAACATAAACCAGATCACAGGGGATTGAAGAGTGAGAAGGATAGATAAAGTGGAGACAGATATAGTCACTTATTTTTTCAAGTAGTTTGACTTTGGAGAACAGAAGAGATAAAGAATTGGCTGGGTCTAGGGAAGATTTCTTTTTCACTAATAAGATTCTCCTGGAAAACAGTCCCTGATTTTGTATGTTTTGAAGTTCATGAAATGATTTGATTATTCCTGATGTAATGGCACTATTGAAGTGTAATAAATTAAGGAATAAAAAGGCATTTCTTTGTGGATTAGAACTCTTAAACATATCACTCTGGAATTATTTTTCTAATGCCTTAATGCCAGGAATTTTTAAAAAATTTCAGAGCTCTGGAATATTTCAATTCTTTTGATTCTGAAATTCTTTCTTTTTTTTTTTTTAAAATTGGCCCTGAGCTAACGTCTGTTGCCAAACCTTTTTCTTCTTCTTCTTCTCCCCAGAGCGCCCTGGTGCACAATTGTATGTTCTAGTTGTAGATCCTCTAGTTCTGCTGTGCGTGGCTTGATGAGCGGTGCTAGGTCTGTGCCCAGGATCTGAACTGGCGAAACCCTGGCTGCTCAAGCAGAGCATGTGAACTTAACCACTCAGCCACAGGGCCGGCCCCTGAAGTTATTTTTCTAATGCCCTAAGCCAATTTAAGAAAATTTTTTGTTGAGGAAAATTTGAAACATAAACTTAGAGAGACTAATATCTTTTATATCCATCTCCAAGACTTCGTCAGTCTTGCTTCATCTTGACCTATTTTAGAGCGGATTCCAGATGTCTTGTCATTTAACTTGTAAACACCTACGTAAGGATCATGATTTTGAATTGCTGTTACAGATTTTCTAGGTAGTCCCACGTAAGAAGATCCAAAATTAAGTAAAACTGAATCTTTAACATTACAGAAGGATTAATCACCTAGCAATGGATTTATCAAAGCATTCCTTAAAGTGTGATAAAATTTACAAAATGAGCAAATGTACATGTAATTTTTCAAGAATGCACAATGTGTAATCTAAGATTTATTCAGGAGCTTCTATACTCAAGAACCTGAAATACTATATAAAATACAATTCTGAAACATTTATTTTTCCCCATTTCTCTTTTATCTGTACCACTGTAAAACTCCAGCTGTCCTCCTGCCTCTAGTATCTCCATGTTCTAATTCGTCCTGCACCTCCATAGTAGTCCATAGTATTCATTTTCTAAACCACAGGTGTTATGTCCCTGCTTGAAAATATCTAGCTAATTTCAAAGTTCTTCTTATTAAAACCTTTTACATCCAAGAACTTTTCTAGCCTACACACACACACTTAGCTGTTTTTTGACCCACTGTGTATTTTTTTCCCACCTTTAAGATGTTCCTTTTGAGAGAAATACCCTCTTCATCATTCCATGTGTCTGATTGGAAAACTCCTGGTTTTTTGAGGTTTAGGTAAAATCTATTGCTACCTTCTTTTTGCTAGCCCTGTTTGACACCACATTTGACGGAATTAGATAATTCCTTATCTGAATTCCTATAACATTTGATATAACTCATAGCTCTCATCACGGTATGCTGTAGTTATTTACATTTCTCTCTCTCAGGCATCTCCTTGCCTCCACCCTTAACTGACTACAAGCTGCAGGTTATTCTCAGCAGCTGGTGTAGTATTTGGCATGTCATAAGAATTCAATAACAGTTCATTGGATTTAATCATATTTTTAGCATCACCATTTAAAATGTGATTGGTATGCTATGTTATATTCCTAGTGCATTATATATAATAATAGAGTTTGAAACAAGGCTATAATGAGACTTCTTTAATGTATTATAATATTTATATCATTTTTATGCTGTTTTATCCAGTAAAGGCCAACTGGGAGGCCTAGCTATATATTAAACATAGAGTTCTTAGACATGAGATCTTTTATTTAATTTGCAGTCAGATTTAGACAGAAAAAGATTAGGGAATAAGAGGATTGGTAACACAGTGAGATGAAGTGTTAAAACAATGGGAAACAATATGAGTGAGAAGGTATTTTAGCATATTGACTTCAAAAACAGTGTTACCAAGTTGAGAAAGGTTCTGTGAGTAAATTATTTTTCAGTGAATTTGACAATTCAGTAGGGAGCCTGTAGTTTAGAGGAACACAGCTTGTGGTAAACACAGCAGTTCTTCATTTGTTCTGTCTTTGTCTAATTTGTAATGAAATGTTAGTTCATAGAGTGCTGTTATTTTTGTTACATATATTATATAGAATATTTTCTATTCCCTTTTTTGTAAGCTCTGTTGCAGTTTTTCCTAAGACCACTAGAATGCACTGTAGTGCAGTATTTTGTTTGAAAATGTTTTTCTTTGTATATACATATATAATAAATATATATACAACAAAAACATATAAATTAATTTCATAAAATTTTATTGCTACTTTTATTCTGTCCTCAGGCTAGTTACTTTGAATTGTTGTTTTGACTTCTAAGAGGTATTGTTACTTTATCTCATGGTAGATGAAGTATGTTTCTGAAAAATATGAAGATTGACAATTACATTAAGAACCTTGTTTGCTTTCTGGTAACTCTAAGTCAAGTTAATGGCTATAAATCTTAGCTTCTAATAATCAACATTATTATAAATACATTGAAATAGACCAGGAAACGTTTAGTTTGGTGATGAAATCTTTGTGATTAAGAGAAGCATTGGGAGTAGAGAAAAAGATGTTCTAGATAATTTGGAACAAAAATATGTACTAAAAGTTTTTTTTAAAAAATAGAAATATACACATATGGTTAATTAACCAAATAACACAAAATTGTCTCCCTTGTGAATCAGTTCACTGATTTCCCTTCCCAAAGGAAATCTTATTAACTGATGTCGTATGTATCATGTATGCTTCCAGAAATATTCTATGCATATGAAATATATATAACACGTGTGTGTGTGTGTGTATATATATATATATATATAAACACATATGTACATTGTATTTTGTACCTTGTTTTTTTACTTAAGCTTAGCGACCAATCCATATTAGCACATAAATATTCTTTTTTCTTTTTAGTGGGTATGTATTATTACAAAACATTTCATATAGGTGCAAAACATATAAAGACTAATACAAAGAATACTCGTGTACCTACCACCTGCCTTAAGGAATAGAATATCAGCTATCTATAATTTTCATAGTTTTCTTAAGATTCCCCTCTATATAAAATGTTAATTTTTCTGTTGCATCTGCATAATTAATGCCAAATAATGTGAAGAATTCCAGTACTTTATGCATTTGAGCAAATAATTTTCATTTCGTTTATAGTTTTCTTGAAATATAAAAACTTTATGGTAAGTGCTCAGTTTTTTATAAAGAAAAAATAACTTTCAAATTTGGCTGCGTTACTCTTTCATTCCTTTTTTATTACTTTATTACTTTGGTTTTTAAAATTATTATTATTGTTGTTATTATCCCTTATTACATCAAATATTTGTTATAAATGGCCTCAATATTTCAGGGAAGCAAACAAGTCAAAATTAAGTAAGTATCGCCATTTTTAGTTAACCTTTCAAATTTTTACCTTATCTGGATTATTTTTCCGGTCTCAGATGGTTAAATCTGAGATGGTTAAATCAGTTTAACCAGAAATAATAACATTCATTTAGCTTTAAAAGAAGATAGACAAGAATTTCTGTTCACACTTCTTCCTGAGTTCTTCCTGAAAAGGCAAAGGATACTTTGACTGTTAAAAAAATTATTCATTCCTACTAGAATGTCTTTGGATGATTTGGGCTGGCTCCCCCTTCCTCCCTTGGATTGTTCACTGTAATGCATACTTGGCAAATTGTAAAGCTTGACAAAGCACAGAGTATTATAGATGACTTTTCTTTATAAAAACTCAATTTTGAGAAAGGTTAGTCTTTTACAAGTTTATTTCACAATCCAAACTTATCTACTGGGGCTGGCCCGGTGGCGCAGCGGTTAAGTTCGCATGTTCTGCTTCTTGGTGGCCCGGGGTTCGCCGGTTTGTGATCCCGGGTGCGGACATGGCACCGCTTGGCAAAAGCCATGTTGTGGTAGGTGTCCCACGTATAAAGTGGAGGAAGATAGGCATGGATGTTAGCTCAGGGCCGGTCTTGCTCAGCAAAAAGAAGAGGATTGGCAGTAGTTAGCTCAGGGCTAATCTTCCTAAAAACAAACAACCAAAACCAAAACAAACAAACAAACAAACTTATCTACTGCTTTTGATAGTAGAATTGTACTCTGATAATCATCAAGAAGATTTGAATACTACATGAACTAGAATGTTTTATGGTTCATTTGTAATTACAGAAAGATTTATGATTCCCAGTGTTACTTCTTTATTTGTTATAATGGCACTTGGTGGTATAACAACAACAAAATAATAATGGCAAGCGCTTTTTGTATTACACTGTGGAAGGCTATGAGCCTTTGAAAGTTAGCCAGGACTACTGCATACTGATGACTACTCCTATTACATATCTTAAAGTTCATTTAAATATGTTTTAAGACTGTTTGTATTTTCTCATTTCTTTGTTAGAGCCAAATACCACAAGTTGAAATATGGGACAGAATTGAATCAGGGAGATATGAAGCCTCCAAGCTATGATTCTGGTAAGCTAATTTTAAAGGAAGTTTAAGTGAATGAAAAGTTAATACTAGTAGGTTGTAGCAACACTATTTATAACTATTAATTTCTAATTATTGGCATATTAATTGTTTTTCTGAGCTACTTGTCTTTTGGCACTAACCGTTTAGTGTCATTTAGATCATTTTCCACCACCTTCCTTCCTTTTCCCTCTTCCCCGTTTAGTTCCCCATTTTCTGTTTATGTTCTTCACTTACTGGAAGGATCAGAATTCATGGGGTAACATGCACCAACATAGCCGTGTCTTGCTGGGTCTCCCCAGTATTAATGGGAACTTTGAGATGTGCAGTACAAAGTACATCCTGCCCTTGAAATCCTGAGAGAGAGAATAGGAACTTGGAGGTAAGAGATTTCTTCTTCAAGTACAGGGGTCTTCCTCATCCCTTGACCCTAACCCCTCAGCTTCAGGTGTAAAATTATTTTGGATTTTCCTACTCGCAGGAGGTTCTGTAACCAGAATATCTTTTAACAGCTGAAACATTTATTATCTTTTCGTGTTATTTCTCCTTTTTCCTTCTCCTGCCTTCCTCTTCACCCCACCAAACAATACAAAAATAGTGCTTGTAAAGATATTAAGGAATACAGATATAACTGACTTATTAGGAGGTGTAAGGGAACAGTAAGAAAAGTTGTTCAAAAGTTATTGCCGTGTTTCAGATGACTGTGTTTTTGACATAATTTCAGATTAAATTCCTGGATCAAATATCTGAAAAATAACAACTGTTGTTTATGTCACTTACTGAAATACCTGTCTGTACTGAGGCTCTATGTATATTAACTTTAACTCTTAAAATCGTTCATTCAATAAAGATAATATTATTCTCATTTTATCTGTATGAAATTTAAACTCAAAGAAGTGAAAAAGCTTGCCCAAGGTCACACAACTGTTAAGTGATGGGAATACGAGTCTGAACTCAAGTCTGTCTGACTCCAAAATTCATATTTTTCCCATTTTACCACACTGCTTCTATATTTGACAATGTATGAAAGAACTTTACAAAGTAAATTCTGAATGTGCTACCATTTTTATAGTTCAGTTCAGTATAATAATTTTATTAACACATTTCCACAGCTGAATATTGAATCCTTGAGACTTCGAGCAATAACAGTTGATCACTGGAATATTCTTTTTCCTTTTTGTTTTGTATTATTTTTTATTTTGGTGTCTCTTCTTTTGACTTGAGAGGTACTTAAATTAAAAAAATTTTTTTTTTTTTTTAAATCTAGGCTATTCGTTAAAGACTATCTTAGAAGTATGTTGTCTGAGTCAAAGGAGTGATTTTTTTTTTTATTACTTTTTCTCCCCAAAACCCCCCAGTACATAGTTGCATATTTTAGCTGTGGGTCCTTCTAGTTGTGGCATGTGGGATACCGCCTCAACGTGGCATGATGAGCGGTGCTATGTCTGTGCCCAAGCAGACTGCCGAAGCAGAGCACGCGAACTTAACCACTCGGCTGCGAGGCCGGCCCCCAAAGGAGTGATTTTAATCAGTACTTTTACGTAGAAAAGTTTGTTTCCTAATGTTTGGATATCAATTTAGGAGTTGAAAGGCCTGGTTGGAATATATACAAACTGTTTATAAGTAAACAATGTGGCTCAGTAGAAAAAGTTTGGGCTTTGAAATCAGATGTTTGACTCTGTTCTGACACTTTAAATACCTGTGATAATACTTAATCTCTCTGAAGTTGCTCCGTTCCTTACCTATAAAATGGGAAAAATTCTGGAAATAATTCCTAACTCCAAGGTTTATTTTCTTAGTATACAGTACCTAGTTAGTACCTAACATCATTCTATCGATCATTCAAACTACCCATTCATCTGACAAATATAAAATATGTAGTGCTTGTCATACCCCGCACCAAATTCTGTGAATAAGATAACAGTGCCCTCTTGGATTTTTACAGGGAAGATAAGGAAAAGGTGGATTACGGTAAAATGACCTGTGTAATGGGGAAGTGTAATAGGTGTTATGGAGCATAGTAGCAGGGGAACCAAATCTAATCTTAAGTGGTCAACGAAGGCTTCTTAACTGGAAGTGATGTTTAAAGTTGACATCTGAAGGACAAGTAAAAAGTAGCCAGGGTGAGTGGACTGACTAAATTTTTGTTGCATGAGAGGTGGCAGAGGCAGAGTACTGGTGGTAAAGTCTCTGAGGTAGGAGTATGGTACATTTGAGAAACGAAATAACTGGATAGTAGTGGTAGGGAGGGAAGGAGTGTTTGTAGATACAGCTAGGGAGTTAGTGGGGGGTGGAGGGAGGAGGGAATGGCAAAATATGATATAAGGGTCTTGTAAAATATATTAAGGAGTTCACATTCTATCCTAGTAGTTATGAGAAGGCATTTGAAAGATCTTAATTAGGTCTCTTGTGATTGGATGTGCTCTTAGATCACACTGACTGGTGTGGAAGATGGGTTAGAAAGGAGCAGAGTTGGAGAGGGGGAGACTGGTTAGAGGACTCTTACAGCCACCTGGGCAGAGGAGGAAGGCTACCGTGACAAGGGTGCTGGTAGTGGAGTTGAGGGGAAGCGGGTTTGTTCAGGAATTATGTAGGAAGTAAAATCTGCAGAGATTAGTTCTTGTTTGGGTGTAGGGGATGAAAAAAAAGGGAGAATCAAAGATGACTCTCATACTTTTAGTAAAAACCCGCACCAGAAGTAAGTTTAAGAAATGGTGGTTTCACTTTTTGGATTTATTTGTTAGACGTTAAAATGAAGATGGCTGGTAGACAGTTGGATGTATGGGTTTGATATGTAGATTTGAGAGACATCAGCATATAGTACTGCTGATGCTTAAAGCCCTTGGAGTGGAACAGCTCACCCAGGGACCTTATGCAGAATGGGAGAGGACCTAAAATGGAACCCTGAGGAATGACAACGTTTAAAAAACTGTTAGAAGAATAGAAACCTGAAAAGAAAACTGATAAGGATTATCTTAATGGTAGGAGGAAACCAAGAGAAGAAGGATTTTCTAGAAGGTAGGACCCTTCAGTCCTATTGATTGATACCCAGAGGGCTGAAGAGTGACTCTAAGATTTAGTGACAAACAGGTCACTGAGAACTTTATCGTGAGCAGTTCTAGGAGAGAGGTGATACATGGACGTGAGTGGAAAATGAAGACTAAGTGCAGTCAACTTTCAGGAAGCTTAGGTTGTGAAGGTGAAGGAGAAGGATTAGAGGGCCGTAGCTGAAAGGACACATGGGTCAAGGAAGTGTGGATGTGTGTGTGTGAGATTGTGTGTGTGATGTGTTCTTAGAGGAGGAGCAAATACAAGGGAGAGAGCAGAGATGCTCAAAATAGGAAGGTATCAGAAGAAGTGATAGGGATTGGCTTCTAAACTTAGCTAGAGAATGGCAGGAGGAGCATGTCTTTTATTGTTACCAATAGAGAATATAGGAAGTTAGGTGATGGGCTTCAGTTTGGTGGTGGGTATTTAATATGAGATCGCTTTATGTATGAGACGGGTTTATCTGCTTAGAGGGCCTCAGGTTTAAGAAAGTAGAGAAGGTTTCAAATAATGAACAGGAGGACTAGGAAATAGTAGGATTGAGAAAAGCTGAGGGTCCAGTTGAGGTGTGTGATCATGAGTTTATATAGAAGACAAGAAAATTGAGAGCGCTAGCAAAGAATGGTTGAAGTGATAGACCATGAACTAAAACTAGACAGAGAAGGAAGTGAACACAAAAAGAGACTAATGGCTAAAAGTAAGGGGATAGGCTATGGTGTAGAGCAGGTGAGCAAACTTTTCCTATAAAGGGCCAGATAGTAATGTTTGGGCTTTGTAGGCCACATGTTGTCTCTTGCAGCTACTCAACTCAGCCCTCATAACATGAAAGCAGCCATAATACATAAATGAATGAGTGTGGCAGGCTGGACTTGACCTGCAGGCTGTAATTTGCCAGCCCCTGATTTAAGGTCCCAGTTAAATCAAAGAACTAGGGAACTGGAAGTATTGAGCTGGAAGGATATGCTCAGAGAGTGAGTTTGCGTCTGTGACAGTTCTTCATAATGACAAGATCTAAGTATGACAGCTACAGAGGGTGGTGGTTGTGGAGAGGCTGAAGTGGATCACCCACATGAATATTAACTTCACTCAAGATGATGTGAAAGTTTGCTTGCAGAGGAAGCATGTGAACCTGATTATCAAGGGATTTCTAGATGACAGTGATAAGAACAGTGACTAGGAGAGGGTAGAAGGTGGTGTATCCAAATAGGGTAAACCTTAAGAAGCAGGGATTTTTCCATTCTTTGTTCTTTTATCTGTTTACTGTATTTTTCCTAAAACTGATAATCCAGACAGTTTCTGGAACATTTTTCACAAAAAACTAGTTTTCCCTTTGACTTTTTTTTCTGTTTTGTTCCACTTCCAAACTTTCACATTTCTGCTTTAAGAGGATATTAATTCGAGTTATGTTAAAATCTGTTTATCTTCCATATTTGAGTTTGTCCTGTTTAATATTAGAAGCCAGATACTTATTAAAAATAGAATATTTTTATGCAAAATGACTTCTGCCTTTTAATTGAGATGTGTAGGCTAGCATTTATTTTTAATGTGATTATTGATATAATTAGAGCTACTTACCTTTGCTATTTGTTTTCTATTTGTTCAATCTGTACTTTTCCTTTTTCAGGTTTCTTTTGGATTACTCTAGTGTTTCTTATGATTCCATTTTTATCTCTTTTGCTGACTTATTAGCTATAACTCTTTGTTATTTTAGTGCTTGCTTTAAGATTTATAGTATACATTTTTAACTTATTATAGTCTGTCTTTAAGTGACAGATACCACTTCATGTATAGTATGAGAACTTTAAACAGTGTACTTCCATCTCTCCTCTCTGTCTTTGTGTAGTTGTTTTCATATATTTTACTTCTATGTATATTACAAACCACGCACTACGTTATTTTTGTTTCAACAGTTAATTCTCTTTTAAAGAGATTTAAATAATATAAAAAGTATATATTTCTGGTGCTCATCATTCCTTTGGCAGTAAGCTGGAACGGTCACAGGGCTCACCTGTTCGCATCTCTCCTCTCAAGGATCACTGTCCTCTGTTGCCTGATGCCCAGTGTCTTAACTTCCATCATCTGTTTTGTTTTTGTTTTTGTTTTGTTATTTTTGTTTTATAGCTGTTTCAAGCAGGAGGATAAATTGGGTCCCTATTATTTCAACTTGACTGGAAGTGCCAGTCAAATACTTTTAATATTACCAAGAAATTCAGCTTTTATCCACTTTAAAATTCTGACTTTTGTATAATGTCACTTTTTGAACTTGATAAGGTAAGAATGAATCTGATAGTTGATAACTACTCACTGTGCCTTTAGCCTGGATAAGGAAGTGTGGAGAAAATCAAGTTCACATGTGCAACAGCTCTTTTTCTTTTTTAACCTCAGGCTTTTTTTAAAGTCAGATGTTACCCAAGGAGTCAGATTTTATCCCTGTATAAGAATACACTTTTTTTTTTTTTAAGAGGGTGAGGATGCACTCTTGCTTGATTTGGCTTAACGTTTTTTATTAAGGTATAATTTACATACACTAAAATTCACCTTTTTAGTGTTTTCACAGACGCACAGAGTCTTGTTACTACTACCCTTTGCAGTCAGTCCTTCCCTCCCCAGTCTAATCCCCTGGCAACCACTAATCTCTTTTCTGTTCTGATGGTGTGCCTTTTCCAGAAAGTCATATGAATTCCAGAATTATACAGAATGTAGCCTTTTGATTCTAGCTTCTCTCACTTAACATAATGCATTGAAGATTTACACATGTTGGTGTGTATCAGTAGTTCATTCCTTGTTGAGTAGTATTCCATTGAATGGATGTACTGTACTTTGGTGACATCACTAGCTGCCAAAGTAGGCAAAGGCAGTTGAGTATATCTGAGGATGATATAGAAAGGATTTAGGCATATTTTGATGGGAAATTAGATGGCCTCAAAAGTTCTTTCACATCTAAAATTTTTTGTATTTTGAAATGCCAGTGTAATGTTCTTTCTTGCCAAGTAAAGGTTACTCACTTGACTTGAGAACGGGATATATTGGAACATACTGCGTTATATACACAATTCCTGAATTTGTGGGTCAGTGGAAACAAAATGTATTGTTTTTCCTTAGTATTGGGATACTGTTTTTACCTTGTTTTTTTTTTAAGTATATCCTCTTTGAAGTCGTCCCAAAGTAGTCATCCTTTTTGAGTTAACTTAAAAACCCTTCTTTCCCCCCATCAACTCTACTGCTGTTTCTTTGGTATGTCACAGAGCTTGGCCTAGTTATTTTAGGAGAAAAATGAAAATGCAAAATCTAATTCTTATTTTTATTTGTATATTTCTCTGATTTCTCCTCATTGCAGTGATAGCATGTGGAGGAAAATAGATGAGCTGTGAAGTCAAACAGACGTGATTTGAACATTTACAACTGTATTGCTAACTTAGAAACCTTACAATTACCCTGTAAAACTCATCTTTCTCATCTTTAAAATGGGGATGGTAATAACACCTATCTTGGCGCCAGCACCGTGGCCAAATGGTTAAGTTCACGCACTCCAATTCAGCGGCCCAGGGTTTGCCAGTTTGGCTCCTGGGTGCGGACCTATGCACCATTCATCAAGCCATGCTGTGGCAGCCTCCCACATAGAAGAAGTAGAATGACCTACAACTAGGATATACAGCTATGTACTGGGACTTTGGGGGGAAAAAAAAGAGGAAGATTGGCAACAGATTGCCAGATGGCTCAGGCCAATCTTCCTCACCCAAAAAAAAAAAAAGTGCATACTTTGGGGGGAAAAAAGCTGTCAGCCCTGTCTAAAAAAAAAATAACACCTATCTTTTGAGGTTGTAAAGATTAACAGGGATAATGTGTATGTTTTTAACACAGCATCTAGAATACAGTAAATGCTTAAATATCATAAAACAAATTTTCCCCAGTCTCTCTCATATCTCCACTTGACACTGTAAACTATAAAGATCGCAGTTTCTTACAGTTTGATAAGGGCTGATGGAAAGTGTGAACTTTTTTGTATTTTTAAAGTTGAGCCATAGTGTAGTGTGGAAATTCTTTAGTCCAGACTTATCATAGAGAAGGCGTTTTTTATTTTACCACCTTCTTGAAAGGTTTCAGCTTCTACCAAATGATGAATTTAAGATTTACAAGGCTTAGAGGTTTTCATTCAAAGAATGTCTTAACAAGGATACATGAGATTTTCATTTAATAACTGATAAAGGAAATAGATTTGAGTTCAGATTATCTTATCTATCTACTCTTTACCAAACTGGCTTTTTTTTTTTTCCTTTTTTTTTTTTTTTTTAATACCGTCATTCTTGGGTATTTTGTTCTAATTCTGATGTGATGCTTCATAGTACTTTGGGCTCTTGGTGTGTGACTTGATTTGGACAGGTCTTTGTCCTGGAGGAAAATTCTCAGACTACCTAAATATTGGGGAAGTGTCTTTATTTTAGTTCTGCTACTGTCAGTGGGATCCAGTAGCAATAAGGAATTTATATTAGAGTTTTGTTATGGAAATTAGACTTAAAAACAGATTTTACCTTGTCCTAAAACAAGGTATACCTTACAGTGCAGTTTTACATTTTCTTTTCTTTTTTTTTAATTTTTAAAATTTTTTCCTTTTTCCCCCCAAAGCCCCCTGTTAACATAGTTGTATATTTTTTAGTTGTGGGTTCTTCTAGTTGTGGCATGTGGGATGCCACCTCAGCCTGGTTTGATGAGCGGTGCCATGTGCATGCCCAGGATCTAAACTGGTGAAACCCTGGGCCACCAAAGCAGATTGTGCGGACTTAACCACTCAGACATGGGGCTGGCCCCTACATTTTCTTAATCTTATAAATTTTTATTGGACATTTTTCATAAATCAAGATGCCCTCTAATGTATGTAACAAGTCAATTTTATGACTTAATGTTTTCCAGATGAAGGTAATGAAACAGAGATGCAGCCACAACAAAATAGTCAGTTAATGTGGAAACAAGGTCGACAACTACTCAGACAGTAAGTATGCCATGGTCAAACTAAAGGGGAGAAGCATATTTTAATGAGATTATTTTTATTTTGTATTTTCAATTCAATAGAATAATTTTATCTCATTATTATACTGCTGCTGTGAAAAAGCTTAATTGAATTACTGTTCCTTTTTCATATTAAATCCTCTTTCGCCTGTGGTGGAATTTATTTTTCATTAAATATTAATAAGAATTATCAAGAATAAATTCTCTTTCCATAATTTTAGCTTCATCAAAAAGGGTACAATTTTAAGCTTCTAAGTTTTATTATACACTTAAATTTATAGTTTAAAGAATTTTACACCCTTAAAGTTACTCTTTTCTTTGCATCTTTTGTACATGAATATACATATGCTTTAATATGTCTAATCAATATTTACATGTAATTTTGTTATGTTTTTAAGCTATTTTAAGTAGATTGAAGAACTAAAATTTCCCAAATGTACAAATATTGCGCTAACCTAGACTTCCTCCTCTAAGTGCATTTGAGACTGTAAAGAGGGAGCAAAGCTGGGTTGAGGTTTCCATGTCAGGCGGTGGGTGATACCCACTCACCAGCTCAGTGCCTGCTCCGTGCGCATCACGTTTGAAACTTGTATTCAGATAAGTGCCTCAGTAAAATGAAATTTACTACCTATTTTGGACTTTTGGGTTTGCTTGTGAATAGTCTAAACCTATGGTTTCCAGAGTGACTGCTTACCTGCCATTCCTTTTGACAACGGGAAGAAAATATTTAAATATCTCCTCATATCTATTTTTTATCTCCTCAAAGTTAGAAGAAAATGAGACTTCACTAACGTTTAATAAGTGAGTTTTCATTAGTGCCCTCACTTTGGTCTTAAATATAATTTATGCATTTTTCTTTTATAAATAAATAAGTGTTCTGAAAATGCTGATTTTTTTTTATGAGAAGTGGTTATCATAGCAATCCAAGAGATATTTTCAGAAACTTTAGAAGACTCATAATCTGCCCCTCAAAGTAAAGATGACATTTCATCAATGAATGAGGGAGTAACTATTTAGTGAAGGCAGTTTTTGAAGCAGTTGTCATGTGATTTTGTTGCCAAAGTGAGGTATGTATCAAATATTATTTGTTAAAAGTAGAAAAACATAACACCTTTGTATTAGTTTGCAAGAACAGCTGATTAAAGAAAGTTATAAATTTATTATCCAAATTCTAATCAAAACTTAAAATATTGGATAGAATTGAAAATGAGTATCTTGGGGCCGGCCTGGTGGCGCAGCAGTGAAGTGCACATGTTCCGCTTCTCGGCGGCCTGGGGTTCGCCCTTTCAGATCCCGGGTGTGGACATGGCACCACTTGGCCTGCCATGCTGTGGTCGGCGCCCCTCATATAAAGTAGAGGAAGATGGGCACAGATGTTAGCTCAGGGCCAGGCTTCCTCAGCAAAAAGAGGAGGACTGGCAGTAGTTAGCTCAGGGCTAATTTTCCTCAAAAAAAGAAAATGAGTATCTTGATTTGATAGGATGCAGTTTTTCCATTTTGGTCTCTATCTTTGTGAGATATTGCTGAGCTATAATAGCTATTAATACGAGATCTTGAAATAAACTGACCTTAGACTCGTCATCTTGTCCATCTTTGTTTTTTCTTTCATCTCATAGTCCTGATGCTTACTTTTAAGTTAATGCCTAACATTTGTCTATCATGTTTATTAATGATATTATTAATGACATTTGGCTTTTTTCATGTTCCTGCCACTACTTTTGGTCTTTTTTGGTCATCTTTGTTGTTAATAGATATTGAGTACCTTCCATATGCCAGGCACTGTACTAGGTGTGTCTCTTTTAGGGGAAAGAAAACTGAAGTTTGAGAGAATTAAAGTTAGGAAGAAAATGGCAGAAATGGGCTTTAGAACCAGGTCCAACTCTCAATACGAAGGCTCTCCTCTGTTTTCTGTGCTGCTGACTCTCTACAACCCCCGCACCCTGTGCACCCATCCCCCCCACATCCCACAGTTGAATTGTGGTCTATTTTTAGAGTTGTCTCAAGATACAAGCTTTTCTTCTGTAAACATGACCCTTTGGAACATACATCTTCTTGTACGTCATGGAGGAAACTATATATATGCTAGAAACATTCTAAGTCTCAAACAGTTGATCAATGACACTTTACATCAGATATGTAAAAAGACTATTAGTTATAATAATTACTATTATAAAGTAGTAATTCAGTAGAATCTAAGAGTGAGTTTACTCCAACTCTGCCTAGAAGAAAGAATGTGCTATTAGGTATATTAACGAACAGCTTCTTCTTATGATAAATTTAGTGAATGGTGTATTGTATAGTTCTTTGATTTTTCTCCGTGACCGTAGAGGCTGGTACTGCAAGAGACAGCTCCATCTGCAGCTGGAAGAGTATTTATTAGCAAGTCTTAGTAGCATAGTACTGTGGTGTGAAGTCTTATGCAGGCAGTGAATTTAAAGAAATACTTTGATTTACATATTAAGTTATAGAATACTGATTTCAGTGTGACTGAATTGTAAAGATCCTCTTCACACACAGGTATCTGCAGGAGGTGGGTTACACAGATACTATTCTAGATGTGAAGTCTAAACGAGTGCGAGCTTTGTTGGGCTTTCCAAGTGATGTCACTGACAGGGAAGATGACAAAAATCAGGACTCAGTTATAAATGGCACAGAGGCTGAAGTTAAAGAGACAGCAATGATTGGGTAAGTATTTTGTCTGGAAAGTGCTGTAGCTATAACTTTAGTTCTTATTAAATGTTTTTGGTTTTTAGGTGATACTTGTGATACTTACACTTTTAGATATTGCTACGGAAATAATTTAATTATAATAAAGTTTAGTAAAATTTAAAATTTCATTTGGTAGAAGATAACACATAGGAGTTAGAGTTATCATTTATGATTATTTTAAGAATATTTTTATTTAAGATATTTTTATTTGCTTGGAATTTATGGATTTAATGTAGATTTTAATATCTTGAAGCTCAGGCACTTACTATTAGAACTTCATAAAAGATCGTATTTGGAAATTCAGTTCAAATCTGTAAGAATGAAATTTCATTCCTGGTGACCGAGAAATCATATGAATACTTCAAATTCTTTAGAAGTAAACCTTTTTTAGCCTCTTTTGTTATCTAATAATGGTTTACTCATCTTTCCTGTGGATAATAACTATTTTAAGCATGTATTTTTAATTGATAGATCAAGTGAAAAATTCAGTAGCTGTTTGAAATACTTTGTTTTGCTTTTGGATAATGTATCATACAATTATATGTAATTCTGCTTTAAATGAACATGAACAGTTAAATGAGGAGATTCTTTATTGAAAAAAAATTTGGCATGATTCTTAAATAAAAAGCCAAAGAGTCAATGAAAGTCTAAATAGGATGTTGCTTTCTTTTAATGCATATTTAGGCTAAAAGAGTGGTTTTAATTGAACTCTATACATTTTCTAGTGAGAACATAGTTTCTATTATTTAGAACATAAGCTAAAATTATGGGATTTAGGTAAAGGTTCAAAAATATGACTTTATAAACAAATATCATTGGAGCCTTCTTAAATGTATTCATTAATAATTAAGACTACATTAACTTGTTTTTATAAATATAAGATGTAGATTGTTTCTGTGTGTAGACATACACAATGGAGGCATTATTCCTGGTTATATTTTTACCTAAAGGGTTAACTTAAGTCGTAATAAGACATTTAGAAAAGACCACTCTAGTTGTCTTGTGTTTGGGCCTTGGCCTGTCTTTTGAAACTGACAAGGGTATTATTCTGAATCTCTGATCTATGTAGAGATGGAGAATAGGGTGGAAAAAAACAAAAACTTAGCTCGCAGCAGATTTGAAATTTAAGATTTATCTGTTTTGGAAATTTTGTCCATAGTTGTGGTTAATTTTTTTCAGGAAAATACCTTCTTATCTAAAACATTTTCTAGTGAACCAGAGAGAAATCATCCTATTCTGGCCATTAGGAAATTCTTTACTAAATTTATTTTGAGGGAACTACATTCACATCTTATACATTTGAAAAGTCAGTCATTTCCAAAAGGTTAATGGTTTACTCACCAATAGGATCAAGTTTTGTGCTAATATTAATTTGACTAATATATTGTTTTTGGTAACTTCATTTGCTTTTTTCAGTTCTTTAGCTTTGCATCAGAGAAAAATGAATATTTACTAGTTATTTTCTTAGTTACGGAAACTTAGATGTCAGAGGAAGAGTTGCAGAGAGGGAAAGAATAGAGAAAAATAGAGGCACAGATAATGAGAAAAATATTTTTAAAAAGAAACTAAAATAAGATATAAAAATAATAAAATAAAAATATTTAAAAATAAAAATAAAGACTAAAAAAGAAATTAAGGTTGTCTTAAGGATCAAAATAATACTGAATCAGGAAGGGGAGTTCTTTACGTTAGATTATCGTTAATCTAAATATACATGATTGCAAAGTACTTTTAAAAGACTAACCTAACTTCCTATATTGCTTTTCCATGGACAAGTAATGGATAAGAGTCAATGTAGATCATAATATGGTTTGGGAGATCATAATTACAATATCAACAGAAGTTAGTGCAACATATCATGGCTTAATTCTTATATTGAGTTTAAAAAATTAACTGAGCAATATGTAAATGTTTTAAACCAGAAAATCCGAGTTAACAGATTCTGCCTCAGTGCTGGATAATTTCAAATTTCTTGAAAGTGCAGCTGCAGATTTCAGTGATGAAGATGAAGATGATGACATTGATGGAAGAGAGAAAAGCATCATTGATACTTCAACAGTGAGTTGGATGACTCAGATATAAACATTTTTAGGGACCATTATTCGTACTTTAAAAATAATCTATATCCGTCAACCTAAAACCATAACTTTTTTTCTCATTACTTTTGGGAAATTTAATCTAAAAGAGTTGTTAGTATTGATTTCAGATTCAAGAATATTTTTAGTATATCAGCTTTCTCTTAAAGGTCCTCACTCTTTGGCTTTTGGTTAATTCATTAGACATTTCAACATTTCTGTAGAGCTGGCGAATATGGTAAATGTCGTGGGTTGTAACAGCACAGTGTCATTGGTTGCTGTAAGACAATAGAACTGACATACCCGTTATGGTGCCTGATGGCGACTGGCATCAACTCTACTTGATGCAGTTTTTGTTTCTCTTGTCACATTGCTTTGGTAGACAGGTTTTCCAACCTTTCAGCACTCTTCCATTTCTTCTGACTTGGTTAGGGTTCTTCTGTAGTTTTGTTTAGATCTTCTTAAGTTTATTGACTTTCCCATGGTAGTTTCCTGAAATAAGAGTTATGTCTAAATTGCTTCTTTTCCCTTCTCTTCCCTTCTTCCCTCTCCTTTTTGTCCCCTCTCCTCTCTTTCCTTTTTCCCTACTTTTTCCCCTCTTATCCTCTCTCTCTTTTCCTTCTTCCTCCTCCTCCTCCTTTTTTAAAGTAAGAGATGAGGGCATACTTTGCTTTGTCTAGGAAAAGCTAGAAAACAAAGTTCAGGTTTCTTCTTTCATGTTTACTTAGGAAGAGGAAGGAGGAAAGTAGGTAATATAAAGCAGATTGGACCCAGAGTCAAAAGCCTTGGGTTTGAGTCCCAGTTCTGCCCCTAACAAGCTGTGCTTCTGAATCCTTCAGGCTTAGTTTTTTAGATGGTAATAAATACCCATCTTATTCCCAGAGGATTTTATGAGGAATAAATGAGACACTATATACGAAAATGATGTTTAATTATAAAGTACTCTCTAAGAGTAACTTCTCTGTTCTTTATGCCATCTGCTTCCAGCAGAGACTCTCAAATTATTACTTCCAGATTATTGTTTCCCTCAGCCACCGTTCAGTAGTATTCTGCTGATAACAGCCCTGCCATGGATGTTATTTGAACTTCAAGTAGTTAGCCCCATTTTTTTAATCCAAACAAATAGTAATAGTGTGTGTTTTAATTTACTGTAGTGAAAGAAAATGGCTAAACTTGTGTGATACCTTTTCTCTGTCCTAATCATTTGGAAATTTTGTGCTATCTTGTGATTTCTATGGGATGATTGCATCGAGATATTATTTTCCCATCAAAATACTTTATTCATAGGTCAGTGGTAAATAATAATTAATTATGATGCTTTAAGATTCTTTATTAGTCATTATATCAATTTAAATATTAAAAAATCGATAAGCTGATTATTGTAACTGTTAAGTATGGTTTTACTAGAAATTCCTAACCATACACTAGTTTCTTTTTACGTAATCAAATTCACAAATATTCTGTCTTCCATTTAGTGACGATCATAGCAATTCTGTGACCAAGCAATGAAGGCACAGCTAATGTAAACTTACTTAACCCTCCTCAAACACTTGGACTCAAAAACTTTTAGTTTTTCAGGAAAAAATATTTCTAAACAAATAATTGGTTTCTTTGTTACAGTTTTGCTAATTTTTATGGTATATTACATTAGTTTTCACAGCTGCAATCTAATAGCTATCTGCCAAAAGGACTTTAAAAATCTAACTGTACTTAACAGTGAATAAGCATTACTTAGAAGATTTATTGCAATGCTATATATAGAGAGAGAGTGGCCAGAAATTATTCTATTAAAATGTTTAGTAGAATGAACAGATTTTTTAAAATGTTATTTATTTATTCAAAATAGTTTAATAGATTCAACTAAGAAAGTACAGAAACATAAGGCTCTTTAGTAGCTGTTGGTTGTGTTTAGGCTATTATATAGTGTGATGTCTTCAAAAGCCACATGTGTTTGTTCTCCTTTCTTGCTCTTTGCCCTCTACTGGAGTTTGATGGTTCTTTGGATTACATTCTGGATCATCTTCCTCCTTCCCATCTCCTTCTCTTTCCTCATGATCCCTTATACATCTATATACCCTATATAAGGTCAACCTCTTCACTGTATTTTTCTTTACCATCACTATCAGCATTCTCATCTTTGTATTATTCAAGTGTAATAATGATCTTAAAATTATAATGCATATAAAAAAGTGATCATTTTCAAACTGTGTAAAGAATAACTTCAGCAGCAACATTTACTGTCCACATTCAGACACTTTAAGAGGAAAAAGTAATAGGATTAAGAATCATTAACTATTGTTTTAGTCACAGTATGAAAAATCCCATCCCTGTTTGTGTTATGCTTCTTCTAATGATTTTTGAAATGACATTTTATCTTTATTTCTAATCTTCTTGCCACCCTGTGCAACCCATAACTATTTTGTATTTGCCTTAATTTCTTAAGTTGATTCATAAGCTCATTGAAGGTAGGAGTGTAGTGGAACCTTAGATGTAAGGAAGAAAAATAATAAGTGATTATTACAACAAACTCCACTCCTTTCCCTTTACTAATCCTACTCTCCCTTGGTAACCACAGTTTACTTATCTTCTATTTACTTACATGTGGTAAGTTTATTTACTTACATGTGGTATTTGATAGACAGTGATCTGCAACTTGCCATTCATCTTCATTCTTTGCAAGGTTGTAGAGAGGAGATGGGACTTAGAAACATGTTTTTTCCATGAAGTTAGTTTTGTGACTTGATACCATATTCAATAATAACTAATGTTGACAATACATTCTGGCTTTCAGTTTAAGATCCTAGATGCTTCTTCAGTATTTTCCCTGCCCTTTTTGTCAGGCATTGATAACAGGGATTTCTATCTACAAAATGTTGGTGATGGCCCCTTTGAATTATATCTGCTTGTCCCATCAGGGTCAGGGAGGGATTAAGCCACTAGGGTAAAAGCAGGTGGATTAGGCAGTGCATTTGTATGTGGAACTATGAAGGTCTGTGTCTTCTGTTGGTATAACTCCTCAGAGACTCTTTTCTACCTTAGTCTGGCTGTCCATGGAAAATTAGAGCTATTAGCATGTAGTTTGTGAATACTTGCAAAAGAATACACCTTTAGCATGGATTTTCTCTTCACAATCTGTCAAACTGATCTTGCTTTTTTTGTTTGTTTAATAGATTTGCTAGATGATAGATTGCGAAATGCTGTAAACAGAAAAGTATTCCTTGATTTTAGGGAAATATTCTAAATAGTTAAACCAATTATTCTAGCATAATTAAAGAATCCGTGATTTCTCCTATTCAGTTTTTATATATACTAGGACAGTTAAGGCAGATTAGGTTTCATCTACTGTGCTAGTTTCCTTCTATTTGATAGTGTCTTCCTGGAGTGCTGCATTGAGAAGGATTTCTGAGGCTGTATCTAGCCTTAGATGAAGAGTGCTGTGATTGATAAGTGTTATCAGTCATGAGCATGAGAACAGGGCTATACAAGTCAGGTATTTGTTACCTCTGAGTCTACTTTTAGACTCTCTAGTCCATTCCATTGGTCTGTCTGTTAAACCTTTACAATTTTAAACCACTCACAATAGTCCAGTGATAAAGTTTGAGCAGATTATGCTGTTTCCACTTTGCATGAAGTGAAGAAGCTAAGGTCTGGAGAAATTGAGATATTGAGTCCATTTTATCAAGAGAAGCTGCAAACCAGTCATCCTAATTTCATTGGGCTCCTGGTGACCAAAAAGGAGATAATTCATAAAGAGTATTGGCACATAGATCTTAAAAATCATCTCTGCATGCATTAATCCTAAATTTTAATCCTCCTCTGAATTTGTGATTCCAGAGATATTCCTAAATATATAAAAATGAGACATAACAGCCTTTATCAGATTTGCTATTAAATCCAAGTCGTCTCACTCTGAAAGTATTGAATAAAATATTGAAAAAATCTGTATTTTAGGAAAAATTGGAATATATTAGAGAAAACTGATGCAAGCTTGGGACAGTAGAAATAATAATGGGAACCTTTTTCTACTCCTGTAACAGAATACCTTCTAAGTCTTGAGGCATGCATTTCTGAGTTTGTAGTTTTGTGATTTTACGTTTTGTATGGGAATGATCTGTTAGAGTTAAAAATTTCTTATGGTTATGTTCTGAAACACTCTGGCAACTTTTTATGAAGAGTTTCTTTCTATGGTTAGATTAGAATGTCTGCACACTGCTCAGACTGCATCCAAGAAATGGAAGATTTGGTTGTGGTTCTCATAATACAGTATGTCAGGGACTTTTTTCATCTATCTGTGATTTAAATATGCCTTATATTTCAGTGGTTTCAATATATGATTCTATTTGTTTATTTAAAACAAGTAAACAGGCCATGATGGAACAAAATTTAAATTACTACTTTAAAATGTATAATGTATATATTTTAAAAATATCTGTGTTTTCCACTCAATTGGATAGGTATTACAGTTATTTAACAGAACAAAGATACACTTTCTGAAGAAAACAATAATTGGGTTTTCTCATTCAATGGTAAAGGGATACTGTTTCCTTTATTTAAATTAATCCCATAATATATCCTAATATTTTAACTTAGCATGTTTTTTCATTAGATTGTTAGGAAAAAAGCATTGCCTGATAGCAGTGAAGATCGAGATACAAAAGAAGCTCTAAAGGAGTTTGACTTCTTGGTTACATCAGAGGAAGGAGAAAATGAGTCTAGAAGTGCAGGCGATGGAACAGACTGGGGTAAGGAAGCATGTTGGATCCAACCAGAGATGTTACGTAAATAAAAGAAACTAATGTCTTACCAGAATTGAATCTCTTATACTGTGGAAATGTTGAACATCTTATGAACTTTTTACTACTGTCACCTTTTATCTACGGTGTGTGTGTGATTAAAGAAGGTTGTACAACTAATTACTTTATCTTCTTTTTAATGTACGCAATTTATCATGAAAAAAATTTGAATTCATATACAAAATATTCTCTGTTTTCTGGCTAGACAGTAGAACTTGTGAATCTAGATTTTGTGGAAATTGAGTATAAGAATGTAATAGAGGATTTTAGAGATCTTATCTCTGGCATCTTCTGTGCAGAAAGTATAAGTTGAAAAATTGTACTTATTCATTCTAGTCGGGTTTCATCTGTTTGTACAAAGCATAGAATTTTTTTGTACAAATTGTTCTAAACACATTTAATATTTTAAACATCTAGTAGGAGTTAAAGCAAGTATTTTGGGGAAAACTTCTACAGCATAGATCGTTCTGGGAGTTTGGAAATGAATTGTCACTATCAGTAAGGTAGGGTTGTGATAAATTCTTCAGAAGTGATCAATTCTGTCAGGTTGTGTGTCTCTGTGTGTGAATGAGTAAGAGAGAAAGAGGGACAGATAATTGAGAATGAGAAAAAATTTTCTCTTGAGGCGGAAGAGTTCCAGGACTCTCTTAGCTTACAGTCTGTGTACTTTAAAGACATAAAGTTAGAGAATCAGTAAGTTTCCTCAATTTTCCTTGGGGCTTTACTTTCAGGGACTCTGATGGTGCTGATGCCACTTCTTTTCCTTTTTTGTGGCAAATATTTGAAGAATTATTTGTGGTAATTATTTAGTCATTGAAGGATATAATGGCTACTTAGTGATTGACTTTTTTCAACAGAACAAATTTTGGAAACCAGAGGAAGTCACTTCTGTCTTATTCTCTGCTGATCTTATATATCAGGTTATTCAGATATTTTAAGGAACACTTGTGCCAATATAGCTAGATCCACTGTGCTACACTGAGGTCTTTCTCTGAGGAGTCACACATCTGCATATAATAGTTGGACCTTTTCATAACCAATCTCCCATCCAAGTACTAACCAGGCCCGACCCTGCTTTGCTTCCGAGATCAGACGAGATTGGGTGCGTTCAGAGTGCTATGGCCATAGACCCATAACCAATCTTATTGCAAGGGTAATTAGGATCCATTTTTCTCCAAAGACAGCTGCGTTGTTCTTTGTGTAACTTCCTTTGCTTTAAGGTGTGAGTCATGGCCTAGAGTATTATATGATACATGTGTGTACATTTCAACCTAACCTGCTGTGAAGTTTCTGTTGAAAACATGAGTCACCGTTCCCACATCTGAGCTGGCTCACTGTTTAGAAGTGTACTGGGTATTTCTGTTTATGAGTAAAAGGAATCTTTCAGTCGCCTGGAGCTTTCTTTACCAGGAGTTTGGCCTTATGTGTTTTAAGGATTTTATAATTAAAATTCAAAGCATTAAACATTTAAGCAAATTCACAAGACTAGATTGCAAATCTTGTTTAGTTAAATGAACATTTGAACCATTATAGGTGCTTCCTTTATCTCTCCCCCACCTCCTTAAAAAAGAGTGAGTATCCTTAGGTTAAGAATCTCATTAGTTTCTGGTAAGTAGCTAGATTTTACCACACGTCTTGTTATCCATTAAGATGATAATAAGGCTAAATTTTTACTTCTGAAAACCTGAAGGCATTCTAGGATCCAACAGCCACTTGGTTTAATTTATTATGAAGACCTGATTGATGAAAATTAACATTTTTGATTGTTAGATCTTTCTGGAAAAATAGACTATTTCTACTATTGATACATTATAGTTAGGTCTATAAAAATGTTGAGTTTTTAAAAGAATTGTGTATAGTATATTCAGAGGCCCAATAAGTAGTTTTTTAAACTGTGGGTTGAACCTTGTTAAAAGTAGATTCTTGTTTAGTCTGGTTCATTTCAGGTTATTCCAGTCATTCAACAAATGCTGATCAAGTGCCTTCTATGTGCCAAGTCTTCAAAGTGAAGATCCCTACCCCTGTAGTCCCTACGTCTGCTGAGAGGATCTAGGCAATAAGCAATAAATGTGATAAGTGATAATAGTGTGTCAGAAGGTGATAAATGCTATGGAAATATAGAAGAAGTAGAACTGAGTAAGGTGGCTAGAGAGTGCTTGGTTCGGGGTGGGTGGAGGGGACAGGTTACAATTTAAAATAGGGTGATCGTGGTAGGCCCCATTGAAAGGGTAACATTTGAGCAAAAGACTTGGAGAATTGATGAGAGAGTTAGCCATATGGTTTCTGAGGAAGAAGTGCTCAGGAAGAAGAAAGCCAAAGCAAAGGCCCTGAGATAGCAGCGGCCCTGGTATGCTTGAGGAATTGAAGGAAGCTAGAGTGGCTGGAGCAGAGTGATTCTAAGGGGAATGTAGTAAGAAATGACCAAATCATATAGGGCTGTTACACTGGTGAGATGGGGAATGATGGGAAGGATTTGAACAGAAGGGTGACATGATCTAACTTTAATTTTAAAGCATCATTCTGGCTGCTGTGTTGAGAATAGACTACCCTGGGCAACTACTGTTGATAATTGACTTGGAGGGAAGAAGGGTCAACTATTGCAGTAATTCTAGCGAAAGACAGAATGGTTAGAGAAGTAGTGGGTGTGCTGAGAAGTAGTTAGATTCTGGATGTGTTTTGAGGGTAGAGAAAACAGTATTTCCTGAAATATTTGATGTGGTGTGTGAAAGAAAGGAAAGTTTTTGTTCTGAGAAAATGGAAGTATGGAACTGTCGTCAAATAAGATGGGGAACTCTGTGGGTGGGACAAATTGGATGGGGGAGATTGGGAGTTTGGTTTTTTGTGTTGCGTTTGAGATAGTTATTAGACTTCCCAATGGAAATGTAGAGTGAGCAGTTGAATGTATGAGTCTTGAGTTCAAGCGAGAGTTCTGAGCTCATATGTGACATTATATAGTATGTAAATTATTTTATAGTGAGAATAAAATATATAACATATTTACTTTTTAAATTTTCTTCTCCTGAAATAGTACAAATTAATGATTTAATCTCTTTTTCTACTAGAGGCCCAGTTTCCTGTTTTAAGAATTTTTAAAATAACATCACTTAAATTGTTTTAAATTTTGAATTCAGGTTGATTGATAAGTTTGCAAGTGCTATTTATAAGGCCTGAAAAATAAAAATGATTATTTGTTGATGAACACATGCCAAAAATATAAAGTTTTTGAAGTGAAAAGATCATTGAAGACTATTTTGTACGATCTCTTAATAATAACCTTCTCTCGTTACATAGATTAATAAGAAATTTTTTTTGTGAGTCAATCCTAATCGAATTCAGAAACTGGGATGAAAATGAGGGGTTCTTGATTATAGAGTTTTGAGGCTTCATTTACTAAAAGTCACTCAAATCTTCCAGGGTTTTTTTTTTCTATGTCTCTTTCAAGAGAAATTTAATATTACCTAGGAAATTGAATTGATCGCCGTTTCTTAGATGGTATATTTTTTGTGATGTATATCTAATGAATAAGCAAAAACTTTTTAAAATTAGTGATACTATACAGAAAATGGTTGTGTGGTTCATTGACATAGTAGTGAATTGATTTAAGAGAGTTCAATTTTTTATTGAAAAAGGCTGTTTCATTTGTTTCACTCTGTTTAGAAAAGGAAGACCAGTGTCTCATGCCTGAAGCTTGGAATGTGGACCAGGGAGTAATTACCAAACTCAAGGAACAATACAAAAAGGAGAGAAAGGGGAAAAAGGGGGTGAAGAGTAAGTGGAAAACATTGTATCTGTAAATCATGAATCTTGCCTTTCATATCCCTCCAATTTTTTTTTCAATGTTTTCCTAAAACTACTTACTCTTTTTCTTTTCTGCTCCTGACCTCTTTCCTTTTCATCTGCTCTCAGGGGTTGAAATTAAATGGTTAGCTATTTGATTATGAACTTAAAAAAACAAAAAAATGCACGTATGACTATGGAATCATAATATATCCCAGTAGTAAATCCAGAGCCTCCTGAGAGTGTGGGACTATGTATGGAACATAGTGATGATTTGATTTTTTTAAAGTATATGTACTTAATTACAACAACGATTTTTCACTGTTGACAGTTTTAAATCTCGTCTAGTGTAACCCTCTGGCAATCTGCCAAAATTACTGCTTATAATTCTACATCTTGGAGACAGAAAGAAAGTTAATTTCTACCCCTGAATATTCTGTGTGTTCATAATACACAGTTCATGTGTTCTCACCACTATATGTTGAACAAGGCACAGAGTCAAATACACAACTTTTAAAAGCATTTATTTTCTAATTTAAAATTTTGGGCCAATTTCATTTATAATAATATTACTAGTTAGCTTTTTTATTTTCAGTAAAATGTGTGCCACATCAGAAATGGAAGCTAAAATGAAATTTCTAGCCCTGTGAATCATCTATGTAACTCATTGTGCAAGTTATTAATAAAATTTAGCAATGAATCCAGTTAAGTAGGTAAAATGGAAATACAGAAGCTTTCAAACATCACTGAAAACTGTCTTCAACACCTTTTTAGGAGAGCAAGGCTAAACTACCTCCTTTTGCTTCCACTCTCACTGACAATATGGACATGAGTCTCCCTTTTACGGCAATAGGAATTTCATCCTTTGGGATATTAAAGTAGTGTAAAGTGAGATTAAAATCCAGCTTAGTGAGATGTATTTAAAAGTTGCAAAAGACTGGAAGGATATGCTTTTTCTTTTTCTTTTTCTTTTCTTATAGTGATGCTAAGGCTTATAAAGACCAGTCATTCCTGTTAGGCCATTCTTTTACTACTTGGTAGTTACTGATAAACATGTAAATCTTTATTAAAAATATCTTAGAATTTACAAGTATTTAACTTGAATGGATAAAAAGTCAGTGGCCATTGTTGTTGTCAGAGAAGCAACCATTACATAACTGAGAAATGATGTCATTTAATGCCTTCTCAATATAAATTAAATCACAATGAGAAAGATTAATAATAAAACATAAGGACATTTTGTATCTTTTATCCAAAAATACTGATAAAAAATTTAATCTTAAACAATGATATGTGATTTGCTACAGCTTTTCAGAGCCATGACAAAACCAGTTAAACTGAAATTTTGAGGAAAGTTTGTGTATCATACATGAGAAACAAGGAGAATATTTTAGTTTTCAGATTGTCTTAAAGTTGATAAATTTCTTTAAGTCATTATGCTACAATAAAGATCTTTTGATTGGAAAGGTATCCAGGACTTATGTAGTATCCATCTATCTACTGTATTGATTATTCAATTTTTGTCAAATATCAAGGCATCACTATAGTTTGAATTTGGCACTTAACATCTAGAACCGCACTGTTTGACTGGAACAGTATTCCTACTAATGGAAGCTACAAGATTTCCTGAATCTGAGAATTATGATCAGTATTCAGGCACAAAGCACATAGTTTTTTAGTATGGTGAAGAAAAATGACTAAGAGCAGAAGTTTTAATGTTGTTCATTGAAGATAGAGGGACTGTAGACTGAGGATCAGCACATGTTGTTTATCATCATCAGTTCATGTTAGCTTGACAAAATAGTAGTCTGGGAAGAAGTGAAGACATGATAAAACAGAACTGAAAGACTTACAATAAAAACAAACCTAGGGGGACCGGCCCCGTGGCCAAGTGGTTAAGTTCACATGCTCCGCTTCGGCAGCCCAGGGTTTCACTGGTTCGGATCCTGTGTGCGGACATGGGCACCGCTCATCAAGCCGTGCTGAGGCGGCATCCCACATAGCAGAACTAGAACTAGAATATACAACGATGTACTGGGGGCCTTGGAGAGAAGAAGGAAAAAAGAAAAAGAAGATTGGCACAGATGTTACCTCAGGTGCTGATCTTTTAAGAAAAAACAAACAAAACTGAAGCAAAGCTTTGAATTGGTATATGAAGCATCATGTATCATATATTTATGGTGGTTTATAAAACACCATAAATATTCTTTTAATTGTATTTTTACTCATTGGAAAAGTTTGAGTCTCTTTAATATGATCTAGTAGAAATAATTCCAGTCAAATTGTGTACTCCAATCATACTATCTTGAAATATATTTCTAGATATTAGTTAAAATTGCTTAAAAATAGTTGTATTTTTTACTGGTATAGGAAAAAAAACCATAACGGACTATGGGTAAGATTTTCCCATTCTTAATTAAACTTATAACAGGAAAAACTACCGAAGATCTGTTTCAGCCTCTATCCTATATAAAACAGTCAAAACAGGGATGTGGGAGAATGAAGAATCAAAGATTAGGTAAGTAATCAGCAGGGCATGAGACTTCACCTCGGGAACCCTAGCTTTAGGGTGTAAGGCAATGAATGCAACTCAATTTAAACAAACAAAAAGGGATATTGTCTAGTTCAGTACCTAATAGCTTCACTGTCTGTGTTTAGAGCAATATACAAGGATTATAAAATAATATTATTTTCAATGGTCCAGATTGCACATGAGCATTCTTTTCCATGTGAATAGTGATGTTATTCCATTAGCTTATTTTTTAAAATATATGTAAAACAATTTTCAAGAAATAATAAACTTTTAAAATAATTTGAAAACTTGGAAAATCATTACTCTTTAATATAGTAGGGTAGTTTTAAAGGTGAATGTTGGCAGATGTGACTAAGTTTAATGGCACCATTTTGATGCAATTGGATAACTCTGTTTCCTCTTTTTTGTTCCCTCCCTCCCTTTTTTGGGCTAGGACCCAATAGGTCAAAACTACAAGATATGCTTGCTAATTTGAGAGATGTTGATGAACTTCCCTCATTGCAACCATCTGTGGGTTCACCTTCCAGACCCAGCAGCTCCAGGCTTCCTGAGCATGAAATAAATAGGGCAGATGAAGGCAAGTATTTAAGACACTCTAGAGCACAAAAAGCACTTGGATATACATAGCTAAATTCAGTGACTCGAAAGGTCTCTCTAAGGGAAGAATTGTACTCTACATATGTTTGATCTACATAGTATTCCTCAGATGGAGGCTGTCTTGCATTCAAGGGGGTTTGAGTCCAGCTTCAATCTTGAGGACTTGAAATAGGGTGCATAAACTTAAAAACCAACTCTAAATTCTATTTTACAACATCCCGTAGCTCAGCAGAAGCCATGTATTTAGTGTATGTAGGTAGTCCTGTATATACCCTTGCAACAATGAGAAAATTAAGTCTATAAATGGGTAGTAAATATTTACTTTGAGACTCACATAAATATTTTCAAATATTTAAGCAATTTATCATTGATAAATGAAAAAGGGAAAAAAGAACCTAAAATTCTAGTCACGTTTTCTGCTTTCTGTTTTTCTTGTTTCCTTTTAGTCCTTATCTATATGCATATACTTTTTACAAAGTTAGGGTCACAGTGTAGAATAATTCTGTTTTGTTTTATTTACTTAACACAAAATCATAAAAATAATTTTCATAGTTAAGATTTTAAGATGACATATTATGTTTTAAACTGAATACTTAACCACCCCCATTTTAGATATTTAGGTCGTTCCCAGTTTTTTACAGTACAATCTTGTGGTATATGAAAACAGTTCTTTCTGTCTTTTAGATGGAAGTTCTGATTTATCTCTTTATAAATGTATAAAATGCGTATATGTGGAAATTGATTTTAAAATGCATATTTAAATTAGCTGAAAATCCAGTATGACATAAAAGTAATCTTAATGATTGAGTATTTTTCAAACTATACTTTTAAAAATTGCCTTGAATTTAAATACTGTAATTATTTGCAATGGATATGCCTCTTCAGATTATTGTTTGGTGAACAAAACAACCTGGAAAAGAGCAACAGAAAAATCATATGTTCTTGGTTTTTAAATTCAGTTACATTTTAGAGAGACATAAACTGGTAGGATCTTGATGGATAGATTTTTATGACTGGAGTACTTTTTCTTTTCTTTTTTTGGTGAGGAAGATTGTCCCTGAGCTAACATCTGTGCCAATCCTCCTCCATTTTTGTATGTGGGACACCACCACAGCATGGCTTGACAAGTGGTATGCAGGTCCACGCCTGGGATCCGAACCCGTAAACCCTGGGCTTCTAAAGAGGAGTGTGTGAATTTAACCACCATGCCACTGAGCCAGCCCCTGGACTACTTCTTCAGTGAAATTTTTGGCTGTTACATGATTAGTTATTAGTTAGAGTTAATTATAGTATACTTGGAGTTTATTACACACTCCTTTACATGCTAGATGTTTTTGAATTAAAAATGTAAAGTCATGGGCCTCAATAGGTATGTTTGTTGTTCACTAGGAGATTCATTCAGATGACACTATAGGTATGAGAATTTTAATCAGTTTCATTTATTCTAAGATGAGGTCTAGATAAGAAGAGTTAGTTTTTCTTTTACTCTAATAACTCCAAAAGAGTTTTATCAGAAATTTCATCTTGCAGAATTCTAATAATAGAGGCAGAATATGTACTATTTACTAAATGACAAATGTAGAAAAGCATTATATAAGCCACAGGAAGTGGCCTTGATAGAAGAAAAATATTTAAGAACCTAAAATGGAAGCATTGAATGTCTAACTTACACTGTCTGTAACATTAGTCCTAAGCCTTCCCCCTCAGTTCAGGGTTTTCAGAAATAGAAAAAGCACTTTGGAAATATATTGTGTATTTAATTGCCTGTGACTCCTGGTTCTTGGTCTCTAATCTAGTTTCATAGAAAGCTTCCGTAGCCTGTGCGTGCTATATACATTTATTACCTTATTTTTATTTTAATAATTTATAAGATAGTGCCACACTTAAGAGGCACAGTTAAGTAATTTTGTAAAAGCTGATTAGAGCTAGTAACGTTTAGTTACTGGATAGAAATGTGACCTGGAGTCTTAAATTCTGAGGATTCTTAGCAATCAAATGACAGTTGTGCCCATTGTTGTTCTCTGTCTTTGACCCTCAAGGGCTGGCTTAGCCGCTGGTGTGTTGATTTGTGTAAGTAGTTGTTGCTTTCCTTTGTTTTCACGTTTAATTTTGCCATTTCTAGAGCGTTAGTTAAATTAGCACAAACATGTATATGGGCAAAATCCCGTGAATCTTAGTCTGTTTTCCAAGAGTCATTTTTATTTCACACCTGAGCAAAGTTATCTGGAAATACTAGAAATGAAAGCGAAATAAACACCTGGCTGAAGACCTAGCCTCCTAGTCTCATGTGAATCATTTGGTTGAAATTTTGGTATGAAAATTGTTGTTCTAACTGAAACAATCCCCACTCTTCCTTAGTAAATGTTTAGAGTTGCTCCACCCCTTAGAGGATCTGTGGTTTGGTGGGGTAAAACCCGTTTTCATTCTCGCTGCTTTATTGTATGGTGGTTTGAAAATGTCTTACTTCATTTATACTCGCCTTTGTTCTTAGAAGGATTTTAAGTAGAGTTTCTGTCGCTACTATTTTTAAAGGCACAAAACTATTTCATTTCTTCAACATATTTGTGATTGACTCAAATTATGATTGAATCTAAAGTGGAAAAACCTTACAAATCTGGTTCTACATATACTAATTAATACAACTGACTTGTTTCTTTTAAGAAAAAGTTAATTTACTTCTTTAGCAGCCAAAGTTTAAACTATTAAATTTGTCTAATTAACTCATAAACATTTGCCATCAGTAAAGTAACCACCTCTAGAAAACTACTCAAAGACCATCTCTCATGGTTTATCAGAATAATTTGCATTTACAAAAGGTGACATTTTATTGACCAAATTAAGTAAAATCTCCATTTTATTTTGGCATTTTGCTTCTAACTGGTTCCTCTATGATGGTAACTGAAGGAATTGGATTGGCATGTTCAGTGTTATAAAATAAGGATATTTAAATTTATCACAAAGTAAATCTGACATCTTGAAGCACGATTGGCAGCTATTGAAAGTGTTCAAATGGACACTTTAAAAAAGTTTACTTGAAATAAACATTTTATTTTTTTATTAAGGTTATGATAGTTTACAACTGAAATTTCACAATGTTGTACATTATTATCTGTCATTCATCTTATAGGTGCGCCCCTTCACACTTTGTGCCCACCCTCCAACTCCCGTTCCCCCCATAACCGCTAGAGTGTTCTCTTTGTCCATGTGCTCATCTTCTACATATGAGTGGAATCATACAGTGTTTGTCTTTCTCTATCTGGGTTATTTCGCTTAACATAATACCCTCAAGGTGCATCCATGTTGTAAATGGGACGATTTTGTCATTTTTTATCATTAAGTAGTATTCCATTGTATATATATATATCATGTCTTTATCCACTCATCAGTTAATGGGCACTTAGGTTGCTTCCACGTCTTGGCTATTGTGAATAATGCTGCAGTGAACATAGCAGTGCATAAGTCTCTTGAATTGCTGATTTCAAGTTCTTTGGTTAGATACTCGGTAGTGGGATGGCTGGGTCATATGATATTTCTATTTTTAGTTTTCTGAGAAATCTCCATACTGTTTTCCATAGTGGCTGAACCACTTTGCATTCCCATCAGCAGTGTATGAGAGTTCCTTTTTCTCCACAACCTCTCTAACATTTATTATTTTTTGTCTTAGTTATTATAGCCATTCTAACAAGTATAAGGTGATATCTTAGTGTAGTTTTGATTTGCATTTCTCTGATGATCAGTGATGTTGAGCATCTTTTCATGTGCCCTATTGGCCATCTGTATTTCATCTTTGGAGAAATGTCTGTTCATATCCTCTGCCCGTTTTTTGATTGTGTTGTTTGATCTTTTTTTTGTTGAGTTGTGTGAGTTTATATATTACGGAGATTAACCCTTTGTCAGATATATGATTTGCAAATATTTTTTCCAGTTTTTGGGTTGTCTTTCCGTTTCAATCCTGTTTTCCCTTGTCTCATAGAAGCTCTTTAGTCTGAGGAAGTCCCACTTGTTTATTCTTTCTTTTGTTTTCCTTGTCTGAGAAGACATGGTGTCTGAACAGATCCTTTTAAGATCAATGTCAAAGAGTGTACTGCCTATGTTTTCTTCTAGAATTTTTATGGTTTCAGGTCTTACCTTCAAGTCTTTGATCCATTTTGAGTTTATTTTTGTGAATGGCGTTAAGAGAATGGTCTACTTTCATTCTTTTACATGTGACTGTCCAGTTTACCCAACACCATTTATTGAAGAGACTTTCCTTTCTCCATTGTATGTTCTCAGCAAATTGTCGAAGATTAATTCTGTGTAGATGTGTGCTTTTATTTCTGGGCTTTCAATTCTGTTCCATTGATCGGTGTGCCTGTTTTTGTACCAGTACCATGCTGTTTTGATTACGATAGCTTTTTAAGATATTTTGAAGTCAGGGATTGTGATGCCTCCAGCTTTGTTCTTTTTTCTCAGGATTGCTTTAGCAATTCAGGGTCTTTTGTTGCCCCATATGAATTTTAGAATTCTTTGTTCTATGAAATAAACATTTTTAAATGAAATATAACATACCTACAGAAAACTGCTTAAGTCATGAGGTTGCAGCGCAGCAAATTATCACAAACTGAACCCAAATCTGTCACCACTGCCTTGGTCAAGAAGCCGAATGTTACCAAGGCCCTAGCTGTCCTGCTCATGCTGTCTTCTAGTCACTGTCCCTTCCTCCTCTCCAGAGATAATCCTGACTTCTAACACCACATAGTAATTTGCCTCATATAGGTCCATTTTACAATTGTAACCACTTTCATTTGAAATTTTCCCTATTCCTCCATGTTCTAGAATTAACGAATTGTATTTTGAATGAGACCAGCAGTGTTCAGAATCGCTTTTTATATATGTTTAATAATTGATAGAAATAATTTGGGTAATTAGCATGAAATATGAAATGAGGAGAACCTGCTTTCCTTTAAATACACATTATTTTTCTGTATAGTGAAAAAGAAAGGACAATGGACTATGGATTTGTGTCATGTTTTACTTTTCTAATTAGATGATACCTTTAGCTGTGGTTAAGATATGGGAAAAGCAACTAATTCTTCAGGATTTTTTGCTCACTCAATTTTATTGTATTTAGAGCATTTAAAAATAATCCAGTGTAGACATGCTCTTATGAGACTAATTGTTGACTGTTTAGAGGTTTTTTTATGTTTCTCTTGTCTTCCTCCTTCAGTGGAAGCATTGACGTTTCCTCCTTCTTCTGGGAAGTCGTTCATTATGGGAGCAGATGAAGCCCTTGAAAGTGAACTAGGACTTGGAGAATTGGCAGGCCTTACAGTGGCCAATGAAGCAGATTCACTAACTTATGATGTGAGTAGTTTTATTTTTGTTGTTTCACTGATGTTTTGAAAATAAAAAGTTAATTTTATAGAAAAATATGGCAGTGGTAAGACTTCTTCACAAGTATAGAATTCGGTTCAATTTTAATCACAAACTTTGAAGGTATGAATATATTATAAAGATAAAAAGAATTTTTCAAATCATGTAGAGATTAAAATTATATGCTTTACCTAAATCCGTAAGTCAGTATAGCTTATTCATTGGTTTTTGATAGGGGAAAAAATTCCCTTTTCCACTACCAAGTTTGGGTTTTGTTTTATGTTTTAAGGCATCAGTGATTAGTTGAAATTCATGCCTGCTGAAGGGCAGTGTTTGTTTGGCTTCCTTAGTACATCATAAATACCCTTCCAAGAAGTGATTTTAGCTCTTGTTAGGCGGGGATGTGTACAGGGTTCTTTCCACATGTTAAGGCTGACCTGCCAGTGATTTGGACCAAAATTGAAATCTTTATACCTTTATGCATGCATAACTTTACTTAAGCCCAAATAGGGTTGTTTTATAAATGTATTTATAATTGTTCATCATAAATTGTCAAAACAACAGTTGCTTATTTTATAAAGTATTTACAACTTGTCTTATCTCTTCATTAAAATCCTCTGACTTTGATACTTCATTACGTTTGTGGGAGAATACAGTGTAGCTCCTGCCACGTGGCGCTGTAGGATAAATGCCTGAGCAAACTGTGGATCTGATAAAGAGGTCCTCCAAAGAGGAATTCTCACCACCTAGTCCTCTTTCTGCAAATCAGAAACTCTCACTCCCTACGCTAAGGCCCTTAGTAAGTCTTTTGGATTCTACCTCCAAAAACAACCAAAATCCATATACTTCTTTTGACTTCTCATCCTAGTCCATTTTTTCTTCACCTGGAGCTACTTCAGTAACCTAATATAAATGAGCTCTTTGCACTGCATTCTCTACATATGTGATACAGATTTTTTAAAAAATCATTTGTATTTTTAACTGTTTTATGTCCTTATATTTTGCATGTCTTTTTAAAACACTATATAGTTGACTTTTTTTTTTTTTTTGCTGAGGATGACTCACCCCGAGCCAACATCCATTGCCAATCCTCCTCTTTTTATTCCTTGAGGAAAACTAGCCCTGTGCTAACATCTGTGCCAGTCTTCCTCTATTTTTTTGTATGTGGGACACCTCCACAGCATGGCTGGTGAGTGGAGTAGGTCCGCACCTAGGATCCAAACCCACAAATCTGAGCAACCAAAGTGGAACGTGCAGAACTTTAACTACTTGGCCATGGGGCTGGGCCCTGTTTAGTTGACTTTTGTTTTTTTCATCTAATCTTTAACAACCTTTTTAATTGAAGTATTTAATCCATTTCTTTTTAAAGTAATTACTGATATGTTTGGATTTAAGCCCACTATTTGTTTGTGCCTCCTGTTCTGTGTTCCTTTTGTCTCCTATTTTTCCCTGTATTGGGATTGATTTTTTTTTTTTTTGTATTCATCCTTCCCTCACCCCGTTATTTGGAGTGTATACACTTTTTCCTTACTCTTTTAATCATTACCCTAGAGATTACCATACACATCCTTATCAAAATTTTACATGCAAATATCTTTAAAATACCTTTAACTCTAGTTAAAAAACTCCCACCCTATGTATAAGTCATTCTTGTTATATATTTTATTTCTCTATACATTTATCTCCTATAACATATTCAGTTAGGATTATCCGTTTTACTTTCTTCCATTCTCCTGTGCATGTGTGACTGTCCATTTGGGATCACTTCGCTTTTACTCTAAGAACACTTAATATTTCTCTCAAAGGGAGATCTCCTGGCACTCAGTTCTCTCAGTTTCTGGTTTTCTTAAATTGTATTTATTTCATTTCAACTGAGTGAGTTAACTATTATCTCTGATGTTGAATTCTAGTTGGCAAGGGTTTTTTTTTTTTTTAAGCACTCTAAATATATTATTTCATTATCCTTTTTTGGGTTTTTTTTTGCTAGTCAACTGTGAATGAAGTCAGATGAAGTCAACTGTCACTTCTATTGTTGGTCATTCAATGGTAGTCTGATTTTTTCCTCTGGTATTTCCCTGTGTCTTGATTGTCAGCCAAGGTTTAGTTTTCTTTTTATTTAACCTTCTTGAAGTTCTTAGACCTCCTTGGTTTAATATGTATGTTTTCATCAGTTTTGTAAAGTTCTCAGCCGTCTTTCTTCAAATGCTGTTTTTGCACCTCTCTCTCTGTTTTCTTCTGGAAGTCTAGTTAGATCTTCTTTCTATATCCTGTCTCCTACTCCCTTTCTTCTGTATTTTCCATCTTTTGTTTTTTCCGTACTTCACTCTAGATTTTTTTATATGACCTATATCCCACTTTGCTAATTCTCTCTTCAGTTATATGTAATCTGTAATTTAACCTGTCTATTGAGGCCTTATATTTTTTGCTTCTAGAATTCATTGTTTTGGTTTTTATTTACAGATTTCTTCCAAAATTTTCAATCTTCTGTCTTTTTGAACATAGTAAAAGCATGATTATTTTAAAGTTTGAATCAGAGACTCTGTAATTCTATTACTATTATGTGTTGTTTCTACTTGTTTTTATTTGTGTTGTGTTATCCCATATGGACATGGTTATTTTTCATTATGTCCAAATAACTATATTTGAAAAATTGTCTGTAGAAATAACTTCAGGCTTAGGATGGTATCTTCCCCCAGAAAGCCTATTTTAATTTACTCTCTCAAATGTCTGCAGCCACTAGAAATCTGGATCACCTTACTCCATTTTCAAATTTTGAGATCATCTAAAGCTGATCTATAATCCCTGCAAGGGCTTGTGTTCTTCCAGTTCACTCTTTTCTTTTTCCCAGATTGGCACCTCTGCTAACAACTATTGCCAGTCTTTTTTTCTTTTTTTTCTTTTTTCTGCTTTTTCTCCTCAAATCCTCCCAGTTCAAAGTTGTATATTTTAATTGTGGGTCCTTCTAGTTGTGGCATGTGGGACGCTGCCTCAGTGTGGCCTGATGAGTGGTGCCATGTTGGCACCCAGTATCTGAACCAGCGAAACCCTGGGCCACCGAGGCGGAGCACACAAACTTAACCACTTGTCCACGGGGCTGGCCCCTCTTCCAGTTCACTTTTTTTTTTTTTTTTAAAGATTTTATTTTTTCCTTTTTCTCCCCAAAGCCCCCCAGTACATAGTTGTGTATTCTTCGTTGTGGGTTCTTCTAGTTGTGGCATGTGGGATGCTGCCTCAATGTGGTCTGATGAGCTGTGCCACGTCCGCGCCCAGGATTCGAACTAACGAAACACTGGGCCGCCTGCAGCGGAGCGCGCGAACTTAACCACTCGTCCACGGGGCTAGCCCCCCCAGTTCACTTTTTAAGAAACATTTTTTTTAATTGAAGTATAGTATACATACCATATGATATTAGTTTCAGGTGTACAACATAGGCATTCAACATTTATATAAGTTATGAAATCCAGTTCACTCTTATGTCTAGGATGCAGCCCTTTTAAATCAAAACCCAAAGCAGATGGTTCAGCAAGCCCCATTTTCTTGCCAGGTTTGGACACCAATTTGTGTCCCATTGCACTGCAAAGTTGTCAGAAGCACAGGTTGACCTCTCAGTCATTCCCTCTGGAATCAGTAAACACTCTCTGGGGAAAAACAACTCCAATTTCGTGCTCACCTCCTTAGGCCTCTGTCTTCTTCTGGATCCTGACCTGGTTTTTCTTTGCTATTTTGTTGGTTCTCCATTTTTTATGTTTGGCTCTGCTTTTCTACTTGTCCTCAGTATAGAGTTGGTCCTAATAATCTAGTCCATCATGGCTAGAAGCAGAAGTTCCCATTAGATACTTTTGTTCCCTCTATACTAACCCCACAAAGAATGTGTCCAATATGTAGTGGTACTCAGTCCTCTCTCTAGAGAAAGCTCATTCTATTTTCATAGCTCTGAATTGTGTTATGTCTCTCTCTCTCTCTGCTTCTAAAAGTAGTTCCTAGTTTTATTTAACATATTATTAATCTATTGCTGTGTAACAAATTGCACCAAACTTAACAGCTGAAAAGAACAAACATTATCTCATAGTTTCTATAGGTCAGCGGTCTTGGGACAGCTTAACTGTGTGGTTCTGGTCTCTCGTGTAGTTGAACTCAAAACATTGGCAAGTGCTGCAGTCTTACATGAAGACCTGACTTGGGGATGATCTGCCTCTAAGCTCTCTCGTGGTTTTTGGAAGGCCTTGGTTTCTTGCTGGCTGTTAGCTGGAGACTAGTTCCTCACTACACGGGCTTCTCTGTGGCCTCCTCAGCAGAGCAGATAGCTTCCCTCAGTGTGAGTGAACTTGAAAAGAGAGAGTGCAAGAACACCCAAGATGGAATTTATAACCTAATTTTGGAAATAATTTGTTACCACTTCGGCTGTATGCCATTGGTCACACAGAGCAACCCCATAATGTGGAAAGGACTACACAAGGTGTAAATCTGAGGTGGGGCTGATTGGGAACCATCTTAGTGGTTGCCTGCCACATTAAGACATTCAGAAGGAATGTAATTACTCTTACATATGAAAGCCTTTCAGGTTTAACCAGAGCAGACAGGAGTCTTGTTAACCTTTAACAAGAACAGGCAGGAGTCAACACACCCTCCACCCCCCCCCTTACCCCCCCCCCCCAAGGATGACCAGCCCCAGTTCTTACAGTAGTTCCTTGAATATTCCGTTTTGTCTTCTCTTATTGTCCTAATTCTGACATGTCCTCTCCAAATTTTTCTGCAGATTTTTAAGTTACTGGATTCTAAATTACAGTTCGTATTAAGATTGTAGCCTCTGTGAAGCCAGACTGCTTGGGTTTGAATCCTGACTCCTCCACTTACTAGAGGACAAGTCACTTAACTACTCTTTTCCTTCTATGTCTAGTCTTGTAAAGTGAGGATAATGTTAATTCCTACTTCTAGAGTTGCTGTGAGGATTAAGTGAGTTAATGCATATTAAGTCTTTTGAATAATGTTCAAAATAATGAATAATGCTCAAAATAGCAGCTATTCTTGGTAGCATTGTTGGTTTTTGTCATTGTAGCTATAGTAGTAGTTCTCCAGTATGTTACCAGTACTCGTCCCCCTCTTTCTGAAACCTAGCATGACTGTTAGCCTTGGAGTGTGGAGAGGTCATACGAGGTGCTAATGGAAAGTCAAACACCAGCCTCTTTAGCTTTCCTCTTAATTGGAATGAAAAAAGAGTGCATTGTTTCCAGTTGTTGAGATGGAGTTTCTTTGGAGAAAAGCAGCATAATGATATGTTTATTTTACCAATGGAGTCTGTTTTTTTGGTAACATGTGATTGTATTTTCCAATTTTAACATTTTGTTTCTAGTTTATAGACTTTGTTACCAATTTGATGAAGAAAATTTAGCTTTTGTTAGAGTGTATTGAAAATCTCAAAAGTATGATCATGTTCTACAGTTAATAGGTTTAAAAATAAGTTAGTTTTTCAACTATTACCCAAAATTAGTTTCTGTACTGTAATTTAGGTTGAAATTATTTGGTTTTTTTTAAATCATTCACGTGAAGATCCATTTTAGTATTATTTGATCCTCTTTCTATATTGAAGTATTACCTTTTTATTATAGCATTAATATTTCTTCAAAAGAACCCACTATTGACATAGTGCTAGTTTTGCCTATTGATTTGGTTATTTACACTTAAAAATTTTATTGTTTTGAAAGTTGCAAAATGTGATGGTTTAATGACAAATCAACAAGGATTAATGTTGAAATGTAGGTTTTTTTCCCTATCCTAAACTAAATGTACAGGTATGTTTTTTTTGTTTCTTTAATAGATAGCAAACAATAAAGATGCACTGAGGAAGACGTGGAACCCTAAGTTTACACTAAGAAGTCACTTTGACGGCATTCGAGCCCTTGCTTTCCACCCCACTGAGCCTGTTTTGATAACAGCATCGGAGGATCACACTTTAAAAATGTGGAATTTACAGAAAACAGCCCCAGCCAAAAAGTGAGAATATTCTACTTTGATTTTATTTGAATGTTTTTATGAAGTTTTTCAGCAGAAAAATACTTTATTATTTGCTATTAAATTCCCTAAATATCACTTCTAGTTCTTTTTTCTTCACCATGTCACATGATTTAGAGTATTTTTTCCTTCACATACTCACAATCTAATATTAGGTTGGAAAATTGACACTTAGGAAGAAATGGTATTATCTGGTGGTTTCCAAGGGCTTGTGAATGCTGATTACAATCTTTATACAATGTTTGAAATGGCTGTCATATTTGGGGAGCCTTTTTTCTGTACTGAAGAAGTAACTGTACTGTTAGTTGTAATTCTGTACTGTGGCTGTAAACAGGTATAGGCATGTTTAACTTCATCAGTTCCCCCCCACCCCGCTCCATTGTTTACTAGGTTTGGACTTACAGAGTAGAAGGAAGGGAAGGCTGATTGGGAGGCGTGAGGGACCCCTGTTTGGTCTTGTCTTCTGGTCTTGACTCCTTAGGTACTTTCCATACCCACCAAAATGTCTAGACTGAAAGGCACTATTGTTGCCGTCACTAAACTGCTAGTGCTTGCCTTGGCCCCGTGGTTCCTCTCCAAGCATGGACAGACATGAATTAGTATAAACCCTTTTATCAGTCACCAAACTAGTCCTGATCCCACTTGGTGGGGTCCTTGTTGGAGCTCCTTCCCTTCTTCCTTGGGTCACATGGTCCAGAACCCAGCATCTGCCAACAAGGGCCATTCTACAGTGTTAGGCACTTCTGTTATTAGAAGAGTAGAAAGGAATATCAAATGGAGGAGATTACCGAAGCTTTGCTACTGGTAGAGGATATCTATTGCCCAGTTTAAAAGAGATCAGTGACATTCCTGCTGTGAGTACATAGACTAGATAAAATACTTCATTTATCAGTCTTCATCAGATAGCTCAACCAGATGTTGCTGAAACCAGGTGAATCCTCATATGGATCAGATATATTCAGCAGAGAAAAATTATCCCTGGTTATAAATTGTGCCTTTTGTCTTTCTAGTTCTTTCGTCACCATGGGCATCACATTAGACTAGAGAATGTGAATGTCTCATCGTATATTCTTGACTAGAATTTAGAAAAATAGTGAAACAAGTGTCTTGCTGGCGATAGCTTAATAATACCTTCACATGTAAATAACAGTGGCCTGTTTACCTTTGAACATAAAATGTTGGAAATGAGAGATATCATATGCCTATAAAAAACTGGAATACAATGTAGAAAATGGTAAGTACTTAACTTTAAATATAGTTTCCATTAACAATCATGGCCAGTATTAGGCTCTGTAGAGTACCCATATACTCAGTGTTCTAAGTAATAAATAAACTGATGACTTGACAGTTTCTGGAAGTATCAAGGACAGACATATTAACCTTCCTGGAAATGCAATGAAATTAAAGTGCCGTGTATTGAAATCCTACTATGTGCACGGTTCTGTTCTAGGCTGTTTTACTTATAGAATCTCATTCAATCCTGTGAATATTTGGTGTTATCCCTATTTTTCTGTGTTGTTTTAAACATAGAGGAATCCAAAGTTCTGAAAGATTAAATAATTTGCCTAAAGTTTGATAGTTAATGATAGAACTGGAAATTGAATCCAGAAATTTATCTCTTCAGAGCCTATGATGTTGTTTCCCCTGAGTGAGGCTCTCTCTGTTTAGTCAACTAGATTATGACAGTGCTAAAAGCACTGTAATAAGGTGATAGTACTGAACAAGGATTTTGTTTCTTGAAGCCACAAAATCTGTGCTTGGTGTTAGGTAAGCTTTTTTATGTGTCCTGCGGTTGGGAATGGGGTATTACATAATGTTGGTATTTCTAAAGGCAGTTTTATGACATATTCAGTACTACTGTTTCCTACTGAAATTTAGAGTGGTAAGAGCCCTCTTCTCTCTCTGATGTAGGAGTACTTCTCTTGATGTGGAGCCTATCTATACATTCAGGGCTCATAAGTAAGTATGCGTTTTTTTCTTTGTTTTAAATTAGCATCACTGTGAATCAGCCTGATTAGAATATTTTATTGTCTTTCACTTATGTATTTGTGTTATGTGTTATTTGTATTTAGTAGTATTTTTTGTAAATGTAAAAGAAACTGGCAGATAATATAATGTTAAAAACAAGTTTATCATTACCAGGCAAGGATCCTTGCTGAAATTAGATTTTATTTGCATGATGTTTAAATGATGTATATGTCTCTTTTAAAATAATGTTGAGGCAATTACATTTAAATATTAGAAATCCTGACCTTTTCTTCCCTAAAGATAATCTAGATAAAAATACTTGAGAATTATTTTATTGTGATCACATATTGAATGCTTTTTTTTTTCCCATTTAAGCTTAAAGAACATACCTTATTTACCTGATTTAACGTAGAGATTGGCATACTTTTGATATAAAGGATCAGATAGTAAATATTTTTTAGGCTTTACAGGCCACATATTTTCTGTTGTACATTTTTGTTTTTAGTTTAGTTTTGTTTTACAACTCTTTAAAAAATGTAAAAACCATTCTTAGCTTGAGGACCATACAAAAATGAGCATCGGCCTATAGGCCATAGTGTACCGACCTCTGATTTTGCACAGGAGGAAAAATGAACAAGGCTTTGACATATTTTTATTCATTGAACAAAGCAGAAAAATAGAAAACCATTGGAATAATTAAGCTTTCTTACTTTTTACAAGTCCTACTATCAGATTGATTTTAGAGAATAGAAATTGATTTTTATCTCCCAGAGGTCCAGTGCTCTGTGTGGTAATGAGCAGCAATGGTGAGCAGTGTTATAGTGGTGGCACTGATGGACTGATCCAGGGCTGGAACACCACCAACCCCAACATCGATCCCTATGATTCTTATGGTATGTGATTCCCTAAAGATGTGAAAGAATAATATGTTTTCTTTTTACCTATTTTACGTAGCACGTATAAAGGTAAAATGAAATATCTTTGAAAGTAAATTGGTAAAAAGAACCATGTCTTTATTTTTTTAAAAAGAACTTCTGTATTTAGGAATCAATTTGATATGTCATGCTAAAAGAAAAAAGAAAAACATATATTCTTCCTAAGAAAACAGTTTCCACCCCCCAAAGTCTTATTGATTGGAAATGCTGGCTTGATTGACAGTTGCTTTTGTCATGTTAGGCATCTGTACAGTACTTGATACGTTATAACTTATCTGTAATCATATTTTATTACTATTCTTGGCAAACAACTTTGAAGGCAAATGAATATTGGCATCATCTTTTTGATCAATTATTGGAGGATATAGAAGCTAATGAATTTTAAACTCCATGGCAGCAAAATATTTAAAAGGCCTTAAAAATTAAGAAGTGCCCTTTAGATTTGAGAACAGTACCATGAAACATAAATCCATATTATAATCTATCACTAGGTATTACCATAAAGTCCCTTGCAAAAACTCTTTTGGAATTGACTATTTTTGTTTCCTCCTAAATTCTGGAATGGTATGAAATGACATACTTTCATAAAACCATATTTTATTATCATTATCACTTAAGATTAATTTTACCACCAAACCTGAGTGAAGATAAGACATTCAGTAAACAATTTCTCCCAACATTTACTTAATAAGCATTTAACATATTTTGTGACAGATAAGCCCCTTCTCCCTCCCCAATTCTTTTACAAATTTATCTGTTCCATGCTTTTGCTTCCTTTATCTTTCTGTCATAGGATCAGTTGTCCTCGTTCTGTTCCAACTCAACCCTTCTCCTTTTGCTCTTGACCTCATTCTCTCTCATTTCCTTTCAGTCTGCACTCTAATCTGTCAATCTCTCTCTCTCTCTCTCCCTCTCTCTCTCTCTGTGTCTCTCTTGTGCTCTCATCTTAAGGCTTACCCTCTTTACTGTTTTTCCATCCCCTCAGAATATAAGTAAATTCGGGTATCTCCCATCCTGGGCAAGGGAAAGCCTTTTCTTGACTCCATTTTCCTCTCTGGCTTCTGTTTAGTCTATCTTTCCTTCATCATCTGTGTCTCTTTGGTCATATTATCTAGAAAACACAATTTCTGGTTACTAATTCCATGTCCTTTCCCTGTGCATCGTCCCTCTTCATTCTGTCTTCTATCTATACCACTTAAATATAACAGGATTGTCAGTGACAATTGGTTGATCCAATGGACATTTTTACAGTTGTTACTTTTTTTAGATGTATTGGCTGTCTATCCTTTTTTAAATTTGTCCACTATTGCCTTTTTTAATTCTTGACTCTATGACAATTTCTGTTCCTTATCCTTCATAATCTCCTTTTATTTTTCTCACCTTAAATATTGGTGTTTCTCAAGGCCCAGACCTAACTTGTTCTGTACATTGTGCACGCATTCTGTGGTAGACTGAATCCACTTCTATGGTTTTATGTGCTGTTGACTCATATAAATCTCTTCTTCAAGCCTCAGACTACCTACAGAACATTTGAAAGTGTTTGTCTCATTTTCCATAAATCCTCACGTGTCCTATGTCTCTTCTTCCATATATTCTTTATTAGTTGGCGGTACTACCAGAATTACACTAACTAGGAACCTAAGAGTTATTCTTGATTCTTTGTTCTATTTTACTATCCACACCTTATTAATTACTAGTCTTTGATATCACCCCCTAAATATTTTTTGAATTTATTCCTTCTCTGCCCCTTTTTTTGCTGCCCTCGGATGGGTCTTCATCATCACCCTCCCAGTCTACTGAAACAGTCTCCTTGCCCTCATTTTGATTCTGTCCAATCTCTCTTCTACGCTACAGTTGAAGTTACCCTTATTAAATACCTACTACACCCTACTGCTCCTGGGAAACCCTTCAGTGTCTTAATGTGTTGTAGAAATCCCACCATAAACTAGCCACTCTTATCTCATCCACTTCCTGCCTCAAACTTCACACTCCAGTAATCCTGAATCGCTTATAAATTTCCTCACGTATCATGCTATTTTTCCTGTGATTTTGTAGGTGCTGCCTCCTTTGTCAGGAATGCCTTTCCTTTTTGACTAGCCAGCATCTGTACACTTTAGGTGTCATTCTCTCCAAGAAGCCTTCACTCATCCCAGTTACTCTCCATGGTAACTGGTGTCTGTCACTATTTTTTTTTTTTTTTGGAGGAAGATGAGCCCTGAGCTAACTACTGCCAATCCTCCTCTTTTTGCTGAGGAAGACTGGCCCTGAGCTAACATCCATGCCCATCTTCCTCTACTTTATATGTGGGAAGCCTACCACAGCATGGCTTTTGCCGACCGGTGCCATGTCTGCACCCGGGATCTGAACTGGTGAACCCCTGGCCACCGAGAAGCGGAATGTGCACACTTAACTGCTGTGCCACCAGGCTGGCCCTGTCACTATTAGTGTACTTACCACATTGTCTTTTGAAGACAAGGATAGTATTGTGCCTCAATCATCTGTGTGGCCCCAGCATCTGGCATAGTGCCTAACACACAGTGTGTCTTCAATGAATGTTTTATGGTATGACCAAGAGAGGATATAGGACAGATATCACCATTGACATTTTAAACTTAACATCTGTGAGCCATCTTGAAAGTACCCCTTCATAGAGTCATTGTAAGGATTAATAAAGTTCCTAGTTTGACCTTTTTCATGAAACAGTGCTAAGTAATCTTCCTTCTGCCTTCTTCTTCCCTCCCCCACATGCACATCATTCACATCAGTTATTGCTGTTTGAGAATTTGGGGATCCCTCCACGTCTCAGTTCATGTCCATTATGAGTGTCAGAGGCCTGTTGCTCCCAGAAATAACTGCCATTCGTAGTACAGTAGGGTTAGTGGCCTACAGGGGTATTATATCCAGAGTGCTGAGGAAGTCAGCAGAAGGAAGCGTCTCTGTTCACTTCCTCAGGGAATCGGAGTTGCGGTTTCTCTGCAGGGAGATTAAATTCAAATGATTTGTGTTAACATGCTTTTTAAAAAATCTAGACAAATGGAAGGAAAAAAGGGAGGGAGAAGGAAGCACCTAATTTTTTTAAGGAGAAAAATACATACTTTTTAATTTTAATTTATAATTTTTGAACTCTGCATTTGCAAATTTCCAAGTCTGTTTTTAATTATTGCAGCATTTCAGAAGAATATTAGAAACTAGGAAGGATATTTTATATTGTTATCAGGTGCCTTCGTTTTTATATTTTACTTTCTCTGGAATCTAAGTACCTTTGTGATTTGTTTTTTTTTCTTCCTAATTTTGTATTCTTGCTATTTTGTGTAGATCCTTCTGTTTTAAGAGGCCCTCTGCTAGGCCACACTGATGCCGTCTGGGGTCTGGCTTACAGTGCAGCACACCAGCGTTTGTTGTCCTGTTCAGCAGATGGCACTCTCCGTTTGTGGAATACAACTGAGGTTGCTCCAGCCCTAAGTGTATTTAATGATAATCAAGGTACATACTTTTTAAAAACTATTTTACTGTATCTTTTATTTTATTTTATTGTTTTATTCTAAAAACAAACAAGCAAATAAATAAGTGATTCCACAAACTCTTACTGTTTAAATTTAATTGAAGGGTTTTTTAAGCAATGAAAGTGTATTTGTTTGAATTTCCAACTTGTGTATAATTTTTAAAAACAGTATTTGGTGAAAGAGTACACATTTAAAAACTTTTTTTTAGCTGAGATGTAATTTATATACAGTAGAAAGAGATTTTAAGGATACATTTTAATGAGTTTGACAAATGCATAGCTCTCGCATCTGTCACGATACAGGACATTTCCTTCCCCCTTCCCAGCATTTCTGCGTGTCCTTTCCAGTCAACCCCCTTCCCCTTTCCCAGCCAGAGGCACCCAGTGTTGTTATTTCTTTCATCATAGATTAGTTTTATCTATTTTAAAACTTAATGTAAATGAAATCAAACAATGTACACTCTTTTTGTATCTGGCTTTTTACTCCCACTATAATTTTTTTGTGATTCATCTATGTTGTAATTATCAATAATTTATTTTTATTGTTTAATAGTATTTCATTAAACCACAATGTGTTTATTCATTTACCTCTTGATTGGCAATTTGAGTTGTTTCCAGTTTTTGATTATTATGAACAAATCTGCTATGAATGTTCATGTTTTTATTATAGGTAGGTAAAGACCTAGAAGTAAAATTGCTGGGCTTTAGAAGTACAATTTTGTGTTTAACTTTATGTGAAGTTGCCAAACTTTTTTCTGAAGCTATTGTACCATGTTACACTACTGACAGCAATATATGAGAATTCCAGTTGCTCTGCATCCTTAATTACTAACAATTGGTGTGGTCAGTCTGTTTAGTTTTAGCCATTCTGGTGGATGTGTAGCAGTCTTTCACTGTGGTTTTAATTTCATTTTATTGGTGGCTTATTATTTTGAGCACTTTTTTGTGTGCTTATTGGTCATTAATATATCTTTGATGAGTTGCCTATATTTGATATTTACTTGACTCTGTGAATAACTAACAATTTTGATTTTACGTTTTAAAGTCCTTATTTTTGAGGAGTTAGCATTCTTAATAAGAGATGGGCTTTTAAAATGAAGAATTTCCATGATGCCACTCTAAATTCCAGGTATAGGTGGAAGCAGCAAAACTTGTAGTCCATACATGTTTTCTATATATTTTCTGAAAAAGACTTGCATTCCATGAATGTATTAGCTGAGTAACAGGTAGAAGATGTGCTGAACAGGTAAGGATGGGAAAATAGGCTAGGGCTAGAAGTAACAAAAGAAATAATCTGTGTTGAATGTCTGTGAGCTAGTTCTTATTTTACAGTCAAGCCTTATTTACTTTTTAAGGAAATCACACCATTGTTTGTTTTGCTATCTTTTAAGCACAATTGTCAAGTAAACTCTAATGGCCATTCTCTTTGAATATGTTCTGCCTCTTTTAGAATTGGGAATCCCTGCCTCTGTGGATCTAGTGAGCAGTGACCCAAGCCATATGGTAGCATCATTCAGCAAAGGATATACAAGCATCTTTAACATGGAGACACAACAACGCATTCTCACTTTAGAATCCAATCCAGATACGAGTATGTATACCAGTTTAAATAGTCTGCGTTTGGATCATGTTTTTAAACTTGATCGAAATTATAACTAGAGTCAACCATAATAAATGCTTGTCATTATAAAGGGGTCTGCCTCCTAAATCACAGAACACAGTTACTTAAAAGGATATAATAATTTACAGTTGATTTTAAGACTTTGGGTTAAGTTTATGCACATTTATAACTATACTGTTTGAAATAACATTTGAGCTATTCCAAAGAGGAGTCAAATTTAATTTTATACCAAACAATTAGTTTTCAATTCTGTTTGAAGAAAATATTTATTCTGAATATAAATCTGTTTTTCATTTCTCATAATTTAATTTTTTAGTCAACTTAATTTTGTATTAATAATGTAATTTGACACATCTCAGTGGTGATTAGAATATAAATTAAGTTCTTCCTCTTAGAATCCCAAATCTGAAAGTGATTATTGGATGCAGGAAGTCAGGAAATATATAACTTCTCAGACTGTGAAGAAGATACTACAGAATCTTTTTGATTTTGGCTTTTTTAATCATTGCTTTTTGTCTTTATGCTTAATCCAGACAATCATAGATTAGTTTGCAGTTGATAAAGAAAACTACATACACATATACTGTTGTTTTAATCAGAGAACTAGCTTTAAAAATAATTACCATGATGTGTGTGCACACGAGCATATGCATGAGTGTGTGTGTCTTTCTCTCTTCTCTCTTTTTCTCTCAAAAATTTCCTTTATTCCATTTTGGCTTTCTTCATTTTCTCTTCCCAGTCTGTTGTCCTTTGTTTTCTTCTGGTGTCCTATGAGAAATGTTTGGAAAAATAGGTATGAATAGAGCTTTGAACTATTTGAATGTAAAAGAGAGACAAAAAAATCAAAATTGAGATTATAGAATAGGAAAAAGAGAATTTTTTTTTTTTTGCCAAGAAATATCAGTTTTAGACTCTCAGTAAATTTAAAATTATATTTAAATAGGGGCCGGCCCAGTGGTGCAGCAGTTAAGTTTGCATGTTCCAATTCGGTGGCCTGGGGTTTGCCGGTTTGGATCCCGGGTGCGGACATGGCACCACTTGGCATGCCATGCTGTGCTAGACGTCTCACATAGAAAATAGAGGAAGATAGGCACGGATGTTAGCTCAGGGCCAGTCTTCCTCAGCAAAAAGAGGAGGATTGGCAGCAGTTAGCTCAGGGCTAATCTTCCTAAAAAAAAAAAAAAAAAAAAAAAATTAGATTTAAATACATGACCTAAAGCTAAGTAGTAAAATTAAAAAAAAATATGAAATTTTTTAAGATGTCATATTTCTAGGAACCACATGAAAATTCAATAAGTAGACTGTTCTTTACAGCTATTTTTAGCTATATTTTCTATTACGTGATTCACAAATTTTTAACATTTTGCCTCATTTGTCACATTTGCTTTATCATTCTCTATACAAGTGTGTAATTTTAAATTCTTAAGAGACACTTAAGAGACATCATACCTCTATACCCCTAGATCCTCTAGCATGTAATTAATTCTTAAGAACAAGGACATTCTCTGGCATAGCACATTATATTATCAAAACCAGGAAATTTAGCATGGACACAATGTCTGAGTTACTGTTTACATTCAGATTTGCCGGTTGTCCCAATAAGGTATTTTATAGGAACATTCCTTTCTCTCCCTAGACGGTGATATAATGATTTTTTTTTAAACTTTTGACATATCTTAGTGTTATCTTTATGTAGTTTTTCCTTTTTTTTTTGCAAAAATTTTCTTAACAAAAATCAATTAAACCTAAGTTGTTCTTAATTATTAATTTCCTTTTGATAAAAGGCTTTCAGGAGGAACTTGTGATATTTTAGGTACCAGGTTTGGCAGTTTTCTGATTTGCGTGAACTATCTGGTTGGGATAGAGGTAGAAGTTAGAATAGGTACTGGCTTTGTCACATGATTTTGGGGGAGTCACAGCTTTTTCTGGACCTTGGCTCGTTCACTGTAATATGGGCCTAATGACATGGCCTGCCTGTCTCATTGTGCATATAATTAAAATCTCTTTGAAAACTATTAAATGATGCACGAAAAATACTTAGGATGCTGACTATTTTAAGATTCCAAACATGATAGATGTCAATGATGAACGTTTCTATTATGATGAGAAAGAAGATTAAAGAGTTAAGAAGCTCTCTTTGTCATGTTTATCTTTCGGCAATAACCATGTGATAAAGAGCTCTGTATCCAGAAAGAGCTGAGATTTAAATTTAAAAGTTACCTACATGTAAGTAATAATGAAACTTTATTAAAGCAGCACAAATATCACAGAACATTGTAGAATGAGAAATGTCAGTGGCTCTAGGCTAAGCCCTGAGTGGCACCATAGAAAGCAGGTGGTGGAAAGGAAATTCTAGGGCTTAGGTACCTCTGGATTTGTCAGCATAGTATTGCTCAGGTGGTTCTCATTTCCTAACGTTGAAATTATGAACACAATCGCAGAATAAATGAATGAAAGGCAAAGTTACATTATTTACTTTTTCAGTCTCAAGTATTCATTTTTCTTTTGAAGAAATTGTAGCTTTGACTAATTTGTCTTGCTCTTTAATTTTTTCTTTTTTAGTAGCCAGCTCTTCCTGCCAAATAAATAGAGTCATCAGTCATCCCACTCTTCCCATCAGCATCACTGCACATGAAGACAGGCACATCAAATTCTATGATAACAATACAGGTAAGAATTTATTAAAAATTGATTATTGTTGGGCCAGCCCTGGGGGCCTAGTGGTTAAGTTCAGCACACTCTGCTTCAGTGGCCTGGGTTCTGTTCCTGGGCCTGGACCTACACTGCCAGTCAGTGGCCATGCTGTGGCATTGACCCACATACAAAATAGAGGAAGATTTGCAAGAGATGTTAGCTCAAGGTGAATCTTCCTCAGCCAAAAAAAAAAAAAAATGATTATTGTTAAAGCAAAAAAAATCTCCACGGTTAAGTTGGCTAATTTTGCTGTCAGTCAGTGGCTTTATAGTCAGGCAATAGGTAGTGAAACACAGATATTCTCTTACCTCAGTTTCTGTTCATTCCATCCAAATCTGCTAAGAACTAGTCTTGATAGCATATAGAATCATCTAGGTTTGTTTAATAGTAAGTAGATTCTGTATTTTGGCCCTAGAGCCAAGGTTATCACTAGGAACACAATAAAAATTCATTCAAATACCAATCAAAATGATCTCTAGCTGTGAATACATTGGGCAAAAGTAGAAACATGTTGGAAGTAGAGGCATATGATCATTATATTTGTGTAAGATTGTTCAGTTTTTGAATAGCCTTCATATTGCAGGTGGAAAATCCCTGAGTCATTTGGTTTTGGTTTTCCATGGACTAATCTTTTCTATATTATATACTGACTGACTGGTCTTGATTAATTTGAATTGGCCATGGGGGCTTTCCCAGTGTTTATTGGATTACAATTCACTAGTCTAAAGGAAATTCAAAAGAGAGCTGTATTGGGAGAAAAACACTGTATTAGCAGCCATATTTACCTGAGTATCTGCTATTGACTTTGTAAATATGTTGGCTTTTGTTAACTTTGTTTAGCTGTGAGTGATAAGTAATTTAATATTTTTAATCCCTTTCTTTACATTGTTTCCACCAAAATTATGGCCAGGTTTTCTCTCTGTTCTTTTGTCTTTGTCTTCTCTTCCCCCAACCCATATAATTTGCCTGTAGCTAAAGGATGCAAAGTAAATGATTAATAATGTCTGAGTTCTAGTTAATAAACATGGCTTAAAGGAATATTTGTGTACAAATTACTGACTTCCATACTGTGATTTGAAAGACAAAAACATAATCTGAAATTTGAGCTTTTGTTTCTCATCATCATTACTGTGGCTAGAGTGGGGAAGACACATGTTGCTTTAGCTGATGGAAAAAGCTATTGATGCAGTAAGTACACAGAGAGGGGTGACTTGAGAAACCAGTGTAACACAGTAGCTGGCATATATTCAGGATGAGGAAAAGCTGTTAATAAAGAGTAACAATCTCTTTTTCCAAAGGCAAACTGATCCACTCGATGGTAGCCCACCTAGAAGCTGTTACAAGTTTAGCGGTTGATCCTAATGGCCTGTACTTGATGTCTGGCAGTAAGTACATCAACTATGGATTATTTAGTTATCCTTATTATTTTCGAGTTAATATAATTTTTCCTTTCAATTTCTTTTCTTTTGGTATAGGTCATGACTGTTCAATACGTTTATGGAACCTAGAAAGTAAGACGTGTATCCAGGAGTTCACAGCTCATCGGAAAAAATTTGAAGAATCAATTCATGATGTAGCTTTCCACCCATCCAAATGCTATATAGCCAGTGCTGGGGCTGATGCACTGGCTAAAGTCTTTGTATGACACATTGCATCATCTTCACCTTCTAGCTCTTTATAAATAATCAACTGCACAAAAGAGATACCAGAAGACCAGGGCAAGAACCAACCCGTCCTGCCCTTTTGTTCTGCTGAAGGAGCACAGAGAACATTTGTTAAAGTATAGTTTTGCAATTCGTATACTGTTTTCTAAAACTAAGGTTTGTTCAGGTTGCTGCAAGTTCAGCTGAATCTGTGAACCTGAAAACTGTTTCAAATTTTCCCCAAATAAGAACGTTTATTTCTGAAGTTGTTCTAATTCGCTAGGCAGGCCTAAGCGAACATAGGTGTTTAGCTTGTCCCTGTTTAAATAGGGCACACTATAAGGGATCATTAAAAAGCTTGATAGCTGGGAATGAGCAGAGGAAGAATGGAAATTCAGACCTAGTTCTCCCCTGAGAAATCTTGTCACGCACATTAGGTAGGCAAAAGAGTAATCTTCACCATATCTGTTGTACTCACCCCTGTGTGCATAATGACCAGGCAGTGTTAAAATGAGTTTTTAATTTAGCTCTCCTTTCAACTGTTCACATAAAGCACCTGGCAAAGCATTTTACCTATTGGGGGAAAAAAAAGAAATGCAATAGTATGTTAAATATATTATTCAGAAATGCTAAATGAATAGTTTGTAAGCAGATTTCTATATTGTATTACATTTTTGAAATAGATTTGGTACCATTCTAAAGTTTAGCTTTCACAAACACTCACCATTATGAAGAATAGTTGATAGAGTCTGCTTTTACTAAAGGATTTAACTTATTCAGGTTTAAGATTATGTTTATTTTTAAGTTCAAGCAGGGCATATCTTTATAATAATCTCTATTAATTTTAAAATTCACTTTATTCCTGTGATATTTATAGTACCAGAGTGATTATTTCATATCAATGAAGTCTTACCTTTCAGTGGTTGAAAAAATGGAAGTGATTTGCAAGTACTTGTCAAAACCTACATAACTGTGCTTCAGATGATCTCTGTTCTTTCTTCTTTGTCTCTCGTATTTGAATTTCTGGCACCTGCCAAAAATAGTTCAAAATTATTATGTTTTAACAGTCCAAAGGGTATGGTTAACCTCAGGCAGCTGCTTTTGCAGAAGTACTAAATAAAGCAAATGTTTTATACCCCAAAAGTCCTTCATTAATATCTCCCAAAAAGGAGAAACTCCCAAGAAGGAGAAACTCCTAGAAATCTAGATGGAAGAGTTCAGTGCATAGTATTGGCTGAAGAGTTGTCTCTCTCTTTCCCTCTCCCAACCCCTTTTCCATTGTTTAATTGGAATACACGGCATGATTTAATGGGCAGCGAATCAACATTGTGTCTGGGAAAAACCATCTCTTAAAGGACCAGGGTTTCCTGAGCTCCCCTTGCCTGTGACCTGCATAGGGCCAGCTCTTGGGATTCCTGTGGCCTCACTCTCTGGACCTGGTGTATAGACCTCATCCCTACAACTGTCTTGCCTCTCCTCACACTCTCTGTCTTGTTTGCCCAAAATGTCAGAGGCCAATCTAGAAATTAGAAATAAATTACTAATGTCCAACTTTTCAGTGAAATGTATATGTAATAGGCTCTCAGACTTAAAAAAATTCATATCCGTAAATATTTTAACCTTTTAATATAATCCCCACATTTCTATCTCCCCACATATTCCATTGTCATAACAATGGCACTTCTGATGATACGTTTATCTGCTCCTTGAAGAAATATTCTGGTGGTGATGTGGATAATAATTGACAATTTTTGTGTAAAGTTTCTGCTTGTCTGTCTCTAGAATTCTGCAGTCTGCAGGCAAATTTTCTTTAAAGTTAAAGGCCTGTGCTAGATTTGCCTGATTGATAAACAGATTTACTTTAATTAATTTGACACAGGTGTGTTATTTCATCTGTGCTTTGGTTAAGAGTGGACTCAAGTGATTCCTTCATGTAATCAAATGGATTGACCTGGACATGAGCTACTGGGTGAATGTTTATATTCCCATACAGATACAGAATTCCACATTGTGTTTGATGAATTCCTCTTTTGGTTCTTCACAGAGTAAAGAAATGGTGTTGCTAACCTAACATTTATAGAACAATACTGGAAAATTCCAGTTAGGTCCCTTGCTTGGCGTATTTATGATGGACGACTATAAAGTTATTCTACCAGTTATTGTTTTAATTACCTTCCAAGGTCTTCAGTGCCTGGTTTACTTACGTCACGGAAATTCTCAAAACCAAGACATTCCCTTCACCTGCATTTTATCCCTCATGGTTAAAATTTTCCTGTTAGTGAGTAGAAAATAACTATGAGAGATGTAGTGCAAATGATGGAACTGTTGAAAGTTTCTTAGAGAGTCAGTGCTATGCCATTGGAGACTGTACACAGAAGCTCTTCTCCACTAGCACTGTATGGTCTCAGCCTAGAGATGAGCCAGAGCTGTCTTCCAACCAGATAGAAGCATGTATTTGTGTCTGATTTTTCCCTCAGCCTACTGAAAATTCAACGAAAACTCACAAAATGAGCAAAATCAAGATTCAGAGTCATTGAAATGCTTTCATAGTGCTTGATTTGTAAATATTTTGGATGAAATGTATTGGAATAGTATGAAAATCAGCAGGAGATGGGGATCCCTGCTTTATTTTCATGCGCTGTGGAGACATCTCTGGGAGCTTGCAGCACCCTTCTCAAAACTCACCTGTCATATGGAGCTCATTTGCTAATTGAACCATAGACAGATATTTAACATAAGTGATATAATGACCTTCAGTATTTTTCTATTGAACAAGTTTAGCAGTTTTTGCCATAAACAAATAATTAGTTATGCAAAGTATTTAGCTTTTATAATCATTTTAGTTATGACTAAAAGGGGGGAAATTGAGCTGCATCACTGATAATGTACTTTGTGAGAAATTTTTTGTTTATCTGACTTTCATTCCTTCAGTATTCTTGCTATAAATTTCTTTTGGAGATAATGATAAAGATTTATTTGAAAATGTCTAAAATGTATGTATATTTTATAAATATATATTATATATATTGTAGGAATATATATAATATATAGACTATATATATATATATAAAAAACCATAGGTGCATTTTACTGTTTTGTATTTTCATTTTTGGAGGTAGTGTACACAGCAGGTAATGATGAGTATGACGAGTGTTGTGCTGTTTGCTTTTGCAGTATAATATATAGTTCTAAATGTTTAAATTACTGTATATACTATATTCATTCTAGGCTAGCATGCTTGTTTTAAAAACTGTCATTCTAGTTTATTAAAATCTGAATGTAAGAAAACCTGGCTATTCAAATGTGAATTGAAAAATATTCCATTCTCAGTACTGAACTGTTTCCATTGAACTTTGAGGATTTTTAAGAAAACAGATATCATCAAGAAGGCAATAGCTAGAGAATGAGAGGTGCCTTTAAAAAAAATACAAATGCAGCCTTACAGTGAGGATGGGGATTGAGTTTGGGGTGCAGGGGTGAAAGAGAGAGAGAGAGAGAGAGTGTGTGTGTGTGTGTGTGTGTGTGTGTGTGTGTGCGTGCGCACGTGCATGTGCACGCCTATCTGTGAAGGTCCTAATTTGTGACCATTAGTGTCTTTTTAATGTATCTGCTCAACTTCTTGGACTTCAGGGGACATTTCATGCGCTGTCTGTGCTCTTCTGAGCACCATATATCCTTTCCAAGGATTTTGAATGTGAATTCCTAGAAATTTCAGTAGAGAATAAGATAACTATTCTTTCATTATAATCAGTTTCAGGTAAAAGGAGAAATTATTGGTTCACCAAAATTATGGGATCTAAATAATACTGGCTAAGTAAATGTAATTTTTAAAGGCTGACTTTTTTAGTACTTCATAAGTTTCCCCCTTACACAAGAGCATGTCATGATGATTCAACTAGTATAAATTATTTTTAGATTAAACACCTGAACTAGTTAAAATTCCACCTAAGAATAGTATTTAAATGGCATCTTTCATATCTACCTCTTTGTCATTGCTGCCATTTGAACTAAAGCAAGTCCTATGAGATCTGAAATGATGGTTGGATGCAATTTAAAAATCTATGTTGGTGCTTTTCTCAGGCTTTGTCATTTAAGTTGTATTGAACTAAGATGTCGCAAATCAGATCAAAAGACTTAGAATTAATTTTGGTTTTCTTTTGAAAGAACTGCTTAAAATTTCTCATCAGCGTTGATGGTGAGTGGAGGTAGTTAATCTCTGGTTAGTATTATGTCTGTGTGATGTTTTCAACCAAGAGCCAAACTGTTCTTGAATTTACATGGAAAAAGAGCTCTAAGTATGATTTTCTTCATCCTACTTTATTCTTTGAAAACTATTTGAAGGCTGTTAAGTACATAATCATTAGTTTTACTTAATCAGAAGTTGCCTCTGTTACTATGTTACTTGTTTAGTTATTTATATTATTGCAGTACTTTAAGTGTTCAACACTGGGATTCAGGTTGTACAAAATTAGCTGACAAATTATATGTATTTTTTTGTGAAATGTATCAATTCCTAAAGTTCATTTTAGGGGAAGGTCTGGAAAACTAACATATCTGTGTTTGAAAACAAAGGACAGGTCATTGTAAATTATTTGAATCATTTTTACTTTTGCCACTGAAAGCTTTTTAATTGGCCATATCCATCATCCAACTGGATCTTCAGGTCCTTGTAAGGGAAGCCAGGTTGACAAAATATTTAACAGATTGCATCAGTTTTTATTTTTAATCTAAAAAAAGTGAATGTTAGGCCAAACAGAGATCCCTAGGTCCCACTTACTTATTCTAGTAGTATTCCTGAAGTGGTGCTCAGGGGTCAGAATTTTCTGGATCTTTGCTAGTCAAACTTTTGATTTCATTTAACTGGGACCACTTTCTTGTCATCCCTCTGATGCAAAGTAGAAAGTTTATCTTAACTTAGATTAACTCTAATGTCTGCCTGAGTTTTTAACAGGCTGTGAACCTTTGAGTGCCTTGTTAATGTAGGATGATTCTCCGCTGGTTGTATTGTTAGCTCCTCTCTGAAAATGTCTCAGAGAATGATATTTTAGTTGACTTGTAGAGAGCTACTAAATTTGGTATTGTCAGCAACCAGAAAGTCTTCGGTCTACCACATACCTCCCTCTCTGTTTTCTTCTCATTGTTTGGCTGAAGTTTGCCTCTTGTGAGAAACAAATACAAGCCCCCCTCTCCACACAGGTTTTTCCAATCCAGACTGAGGCATCCCCTATACCCATCCCAACCAATTGATCTAATACCTATTTTTAGGAGGAACCACTTATTTGTAATCCTGACATCTACTGGTTATTTTATGTCTTCTCAACTTCAGTTTACTACAGCTGACCTCAGGGCATTGTCAGTTCAGATTCCTGAATAACTCCTTTTCTCCAGCCCACCCCAACCCCCAACTGGTGAGCCCTGGGCCAGATTGTTTGATCTTCAGGTCTTTTAAAATTTAGTTATAAAATCAATTAATGTAAATTAATCCAAATGCTAATTTTTGTGGTGCAAGAAGTTTCTTTTGTAAATTCAGGGTATGGATAAGCTAATTAAGATATCCTTTTTTGGTGGCTCTAAGTGTATTGTTTGTTTTTAAATAAAGTGTATAAATATAGCTAATGTGCTATAGGTGTCTCATGAATTGAAATATTTGTTAGATTTGGAATCTAATGGATTTGCAGTTAAAATACTTTAATACAACCTGATTTTGTTTTTTGAGGGGAAGGTAGTAGAGGGGTTCAGAGAAATAAAAGGGCATTAGATAAAGTAGATGTGAGTCCAAAGTAATAAACCAATCTTAATTATTGATTGTGAGGAAGGTGGAGATATTTATCATAGAGAGTTTGGAACTTTGGAAAGCCCATAATATTAGAATACATAAGATTGGATCAATGATACTTTCAGAGACACATATATTTTTTCAAGTGTTCAGTTACATAATTTTAAAACAATGTACAGGGGCAGGCCCTGTGGCATAGTGGTTAAGTTCAAAACGCTCCACTTCAGCGGCGCAGGTTCCTGGGTTTAGATCCCAGGCACAGACCTACACCACTCGTCAGCCATGCTGTGGCGGCGTCCCACATACAAAGTAAAGGAAGATTGGCACAGGTGTTAGCCCAGGGCCAGTCTTCCTCAACAAGACCAAAAACTTGTACACATACATATATAAATTTAATGTTTCTATTTTTTCTTGGTTTTGCTACTGAACAGACAAGCATAAACCTTCCCCTGCGCTTTGCTCCTTCAAATCAACATTATTTTTCAAGGACTTCGCCTGCCCTGAACTCAACAATCTCTTCGTTCCAACCAGGAGCCACAATACTTATGGAATCTAAAAAGATCCTTTCTCTGGTGGCCTTGAAGTTACCCACTGTTCTTTGATGTATTGTATGCTGCTTTAGAGAGTGTTACATCCTTTGGGACATGCACATTTTTCAGTAGTGTCAGAAATGTCCCTTTTAAGGAGAACTGAGACATGATTTGCTGGAGTTATTTTAGAATAATCTAGCTCAGAAGGTCGAGAGGACTCCAAAAGTTTGTCGTGGATTGATGGACCCTCTGGGATCCTCCCAGGTTCAGAGTAGTGCTCTGACCTGCTTTGGGTTTCCTAAGACCACCACTGAGATGTTGAGGGGTCCTAGAGTTGTCCTGGCGCTTAGGGCATCCATCCCCCAGGAACTCCTGGGAGTCTGGCAGCACCCTTTAACCCAAACACTATAACCTTGAAGCATCCCTCCACTTGTTCCTTTTCATTTACACCTGTCACGTCCAGTGCTCAGGACACTCCCATTCTATGGAGCGGCACTGACATCCACCTCTGAACATTGGAATTCATATTTTCTGGAACACAAATTTTAATCTAGTATATTTTGTACACTTTCAAAACCAAACCATCCAAAACTCACCAAGTAGAAAATAACTCATTTTGTTTCACTTAGATCTGACAAAACCCTACACCC